GATATGATAAATCTATCTTTATCAACAGGCTATGTACCACAGTACTTTAAAGTAGCTGTAATTAAACCTCTTCTGAAAAAGCCCAAACTTGATCCGGATGTTTTAGCCAACTATAGACCTACAGGTGCTGGTCATATAATTAGAATATCATCAAAAAGTTTATTTATTTCAGTAATTCCATTCAAAAAGTGAAACTTGGATATTATATTCATTCATTACACACAGAATGATATATTTCAAATGTTTATTTCATTTAATTGTGATGATTAAAACTGAAAAATCCCAAATTCAGATTCCTTTTGCCTGAATTACTGCAGCAATGCGGCGTGGCATGGAGTCCATCAGTCTGTGGCACTGCTCAGGTGTTATGAGAGCCCAGGTTGCTCTGATAGTGGCCTTCAGCTCTTCTGCATTGGGTTGCCGTATCGCATCTTCCTCTTCACAATACCCCATAGTCTGTAGGGTTATGGTCAGGCCAGTTTGCTGGCCAATTAAGAACAGGGATACCGTGGTCCTTAAACCAGGTACTGGTAGCTTTGGCACTGTGTGCAGGTTCCAAGTCCTGTTGGAAAATGAAATCTGCATCTCCATAAAGTTGGTCAGCAGCAGGAAGCATGAAGTGCTCTAAAACTTCCTGGTAGACGGCTGCGTTGACCTTGGACCTCAGAAAACACAGTGGACCAACACCAGCAGATGACATGGCACCCAAACCATCACTGACTGTGGAAACTACACTGGACTTCAAGCAACGTGGATTCTGTGCCTCTCCTCTCTTCCTCCAGACTCTGGGACCTTGATTTCCAAAGGAAATGCAAAATTTACTTTCATCAGAGAACATAACTTTGGACCACTCAGCAGCAGTCCAGTCCTTTTTGTCTTTAGCCCAGGCGAGACGCTTCTGACGCTGTGTCTTGTTCAAGAGTGGCTTGACACAAGGAATGCGACAGCTGAAACCCATGTCTTGCATACGTCTGTGCGTGGTGGTTCTTGAAGCACTGACTCCAGCTGCAGTCCACTCTTTGTGAATCTCCCCCACATTTTGAATGGGTTTTGTTTCACAATCCTCTCCAGGGTGCGGTTATCCCTATTGCTTGTACACTTTTTTCTACCACATCTTTTCCTTCCCTTCGCCTCTCTATTAATGTGCTTGGACACAGAGCTCTGTGAACAGCCAGCCTCTTTAGCAATGACCTTTTGTGTCTTGCCCTCCTTGTGCAAGGTGTCAATGGTCGTCTTTTGGACAGCTGTCAAGTCAGCAGTCTTCCCCATGATTGTGTAGCCTACAGAACTAGACTGAGAGACCATTTAAAGGCCTTTGCAGGTGTTTTGACTTAATTAGCTGATTAGAGTGTGGCACCAGGTGTCTTCAATATTGAACCTTTTGACAATATTCTAATTTTCTGAGATACTGATTTTGGGGTTTTCATTAGTTGTCAATGAATGTATACATTATACAAGTTTCACTTTCTGAATGGAATTACTGAAATAAATCAACATTTTGATGATATTCTAATTATATGACCAGCACCTGTATATCTAACCTTCCATTTCTCTCTAAGGTTCTGGAGAAAGCAGTTGCTAAACAGCTGTGTGACTTTCTACAGAACAATAGTTCTGTAGAGATTTATCTGTGAGTTCATCATAGCACAGAGACAGAACTGGTGAAAATTAATAATGGCCTCCTTATTGCATCAGACAAAGGACTTGTCTCTGTACTGGTTTTACTAGATCTTAGCGCTGATACCATTGACCATCAGACACTATTGCAGAGACTGGATAAGCTGCTTTAAGTCCTATTTACATTACATTACATTTAAGGGACTTACAATTGCTATACATGTCAGAGGTTGCACGCCTCTGGAGCAACTAGATCTTGTTCAGGGACACATTGGTAGATGGGTCACAGTGGGGAATTGAACCCGGGTCTCTCACACCAAAGGCAGGCATCTTATCCATGTCCTTGTCCACCCCCTATTTATCAGATCGATTTCAGTTTGTACATGTTAACGATGAGTCCTCCATGTGGGGAGCATGTTGAAATGCTATATTATGCCATCTTTATTTAAGATATCAGGGGCAGCGTATTCTGATAGACTAATGATGATTTAAAAAAAAAATTTTTTGATGTTACTGACGATCAGCCACTTTCTTGACGGCATTCCCAACAGCAAGGTTGCACAGATTTATGGGCGTGGAAACAAACCAACCTTGTGGGTCATACGCATGCGGAGAGCCGCTAAGTAGCGCATCTCGATAGGTAGCAGAAATCGACAGAACACCGGCAATACAGGAGCACTAGGCGCATTTGATGGCGCTCATATAAAGATAGACTTTTTTAATCTTTCATTTATTAATGTGTAGCCTATATCATAATGTATTATCTTGAAAATTCTTTATTGTTAAATGTGTGTTGAATATAAACTCCTCTTAGGAATTTCACCATTCAATGTGAATTTATCTGAGAATATTCTTAAATAATAATAATAATAATCCTTATTTGTAGACTTTTCAAAAACAAGTTACAAAGTGCTTTAACAAGTGTAAAGACAATAATACAAAAAAAAAAAACAATACAAGATAAAAGCATGAAAACATTGAAAAGACTAAAATACATAAGGAAATGTCTTCTGTGATTGGTCCTTAGCGACATCGTCATCCAAACCCTGTTTGCGGCACAGCAAAGTGTCGTGAATCAGCAGACTGACACTTAAGATTTAGTCCTACACTTCACTCAAATTGATGCTTGATAACTAACTTTTATGCTTTGAGCCAAGAATTTTTTTACTCTTAAGTCAGTTCTTAGCAGCGTTCGTATGAGTCATTCTGAGAAGCTTGATAAATACGGGCCGAGGTTTCTTGAGGATGGAGGTGACAGCTGCAAGTACAAAATGAGGAACAGTGGATTCATTTGATCATGACACCAGTTCCATATTAAACATGTACTGTAAAGTAATTAGCAGAGGCTTCCTCCGCGGTTTTCTCCCATGAACTCCATTCTTGTTTAGTGTTTGACGTATCGTAGAGTCGTCAACAGAGATGTTAGCATGTTCCAGAGATTTCTGAGAGTCTCCAGCTGACACTCTCAGATGCTTCTTAACCTCATAGAGGTTTTTTAACCCTTTCCAGCTTCATGCGAGTCAACAATTCTTAATCTCAGTTATTCTGAGAGCTCTTTTGTTTGAGGCGTGGTTCACATCAGGCAATGAGAAAAGCAAAATTTAAATTTGTGTGTTTTTTCAAAGGCGAGGCAGCTCTAGCCAACACCTCCAATCTCTTGTCATCGATTGGCTCCAATTAGCTTTTGGAGAAGTCATTAGCCGAGGGGTTCACATCCTGTTTCTTACCCTGCGCTGTGAATGTTTACAGGCTGTGTTCAATAAAAACATATAATTGTATGTGTGGTTTTAGTTTAAGCAGACTGTGTTTGTTGTTGTTGGGATTTAGATGAAGATCAGATCACATTTTATAACCAACTGCAGAAATCCAGGGAATTCCAAACAGTTCACTTAGTTTTTCCATAATCAAAACTAGACAAAATCAGAGTAACTAAATGAACATGAGCAAATGTACCAATTACTGTTTTAATGGAAAATCATGTGTCATGCTGTTTCGAGTCTGTCTGTGGTCCCCAGTGTTTTGGGGTGCATCCCCCTTTCCCTGTGTTCATGCCTTACTTGGTGCTTTACCTGCCTGCTGTGGTCCAGGACCCTCCCCTGCATTTTCTCCGTCTTCCTTGGATTCTCCAGCCCGGCCATGTGTTCATTCCACTACTCCTTTGTTTACAATAAAATTAGCGCTGGGCAATGATTTAAAAATGTAATGTAATGCAGAAGTGCAGTAACGTGATTTGCAAACACTTTATAAATAATGTGCTTTTCCCAGCAGTATTCCCTTTACACAGTAGCAATAAAATATTTCTGGTGAATCTACTTCAGCTAATCCATCTGTCAGCTTCCTTGGGTCAAACCAAAACCGACCGATGAACCGTCCTCATTGTTGTATATTTCTAGCAGGTGGTTACCATAGTAACATTAGCCCGGGGGTCAGGTGTCTAATTATTTTGGTCAAAACTTCAGTCAGTCTTTTTTTTTGTGAAACAGTCAAACTTGCGTTAGACTAGTTTATGAGCAAGTCTAAAATAGCTTTGTATGTTTGTAGCATCTTATCACCAAAGCAGGTTCCTCGTACTTGTATAACACTACTCGGCAATAAAAGCCCCTTCTGATAGGCTACAGCTGTGTAGCGGAGTGCTTTTCTCCTGATCACCAGAGGAGTGATTCGCTGTGGCCTTCGATCGCTTGTCTTACTTTTGTTTATCTGCTTCTCCCACACGCTGCATCCAACGTAGTCTGCCGAAACCTCCCTCCACTGCTGGTTTGCAGGCTGATCAACGTGATCCGCGGTTTGACTGGATGTGTATTCAGAGCCAGTGAGCAACGGACTTTCAAAATAATAAAAAACACGATGAAATATTGTTTTATGACAAGAAGTTGTAATATTTCTATAATAAAGTGAAAAATTTGAGAGAATTAAGTTGCAATATTACAAAAAACATGAGATTTCAGGAATAAGAAAACTGAAAATTTTACACTGCAAAAACTAAAACTTAGTCAGATTTTCTTAATTGAAGGCAAAATATACTTGTTTTTTGTCTGACAAGATATTTCTTCCTGCCAGGCGGTTTTTATGTTGGAGAATTTCACTTGTTTCAAGTTTTTTGGCCTTAACTAGCAAGTGAAATATTCTTGTTCTGTTGGCAGATAAAAAAAATTAACAATAGCAGAACAGTTATTGTAAAAAGTTGTATAAGAGTAACGTTTTATTTTATGAAATAAAATCATAATATTTTAAGAATAGTCAAGATTTTACAAACATTTTTGATGGTAATACTTGACAGATTAATAAGCAACTGCTTCTGCTCTTTATGTTTCAACAATTAATTTTCTTCCAGTTGATGAAAATGGAAGAACTTTCTGATAATGAACAAATACAAATCCACGTTTTGAAGTTTAATTCAGTTTTATTGAACCACATTAACAGCAAACTGAACACATTTAACTAACTCTACATGGAGCTGATCGATCCTTCAACACAACATGAACATAAATATCTTTTATCGCAGTATAAAAATAAATAACCACCACAGAGCGTGGAAGCAAAACTTCAACATTCAGCTAAACATCAAAAACACAAAGCTGATTTTCTGATTGATTAAAGAAACATGTATGGAAGTTCATTAACCACAAAACTGTTGAACAGAAAAACAAATGTAAAATCCCATCTGAGTGAGGACGGAATAATGATTGTCATCAATCTATTAATATTGATTATCTTTAAATGTCTTGTTTTAGTCACACCAACAGTCCAAAAACCAAAACTAATTATCAAAAGTGTTGCAGAATGATTTTCTGTCAGTCGACCAATGAATTATTCTTCTAATAGTTTCAACTCCAATAAGTTTAATGAGCTGAAAAGAAAAGACTTTAGGACATTAAAGCAAGGAACATTTTGACAACATACATAAATGTCTCATTATAACAACTTAATATTTAATAACGTGGAACATTTATTTGTGTAGTGAGACATTTATGATGTAACAAGGTAAAATTAGGTCACAACATAACGTTTTTTTTCTCAAAACTAAATTATTTCTTTGTAGTAATGATGAGAAAAATGAAAAGCATCTTGTTAAAATTAAGAAATTTTCTCATCTGTGGCAGCAACAGGCCGCCGTACATTTGTTTTGTTGCCCGAGTCATTTTGTCGTTAATTAACTTCCGTATAAAGTGAATTTATTTCAAGTCTCACTTAATTTCCATGAAAATACTTTTGTAAATACTTCACAGTAGTTGCTGCAGCATCTGTCCTGATAACCAATCACAACGAGAGGACACTACTCTTTGGTTGGACTCGTTTACCCATCATGCTCTCTGCTGTACGGTAACAAAGGAAGGACACACTTCAGACCTGCAACTAAATAGTTCGTAGTTTAATCTCTAACATGATCTTTATCGACACCACAGAGTGAAGCGGCGGCGGCTGCTCTAATTCGTCTACAACACACAACAGGATGTGACATCATCAACAGGAGGTACAAGGCAGGCGGAGCTAGACGCAGCGGCGAATCAGGTTGTTCCTCTCGGGCTCCAGGAACTCGTCCAGGAGGGCGGCCGTGATCCTCCCGAGCTCGTCCTCCAGACCGGACGCCGCGCTGCAACACAGACACACCGATGATGTCCTTCATGTGAAAGGAGAGGCGTAGCCACGGTAACGCCATTTCATCATCAGCATCACACTGTCATTAAGAGGTTGGTCGGATTTCTGACCAACAAAGGAAAACGAAAAAAGAAGAGAAGGGGTAGGAGGAGGAGGAGAAGGGGGAGAAGAAGAAGAAGGAGGGGTAGGGGGGGGAGGAGGAGGAGGAGGAGGAGGGAGAGGAAGGAAATGGGGTAGGGGGAGGAGATGGAGGGAGGGGGAGGAGAAGAAGAAGGGAGAAGGAGGAGGAGAAGAAGGGGTAAGGGGAGGAGATGGAGGGGGGGGGGAGAAGAAGCGGTAGGGAGGAGATGGAGGGGGGGGGAGAGAAGCGGTAGGGAGGAGATGGAGGGGGGGGGGGAGAAGCGGTAGGGAGGAGATGGAGGGGGAGATGGAGGGGAGGGACGAGGAGGAGAAGGAGGGAGATGGAAGGGAAGGGACGAGGAGGAGAAGGAGGGGTAGGAGGAGGAGAAGGATGGGTAGGGGGAGGAGGAGGAGGAGAAGGAGGGGGAGGAGATGGGGGGAGGAGGAAGAGACGGAGGGGTAGGGGGAGGAGGAGGAGAAGGAGGGGGAGGAGATGGGGGGAGGAGGAAGAGACGGAGGGGTAGGGGGAGGAGGAGGAGAAGGAGGGGGAGGAGAAGGAGGGGGAGGAGATGGGGGGGGGGGGGGGGGGAGGAGGAGACGGGGGGGGAGGGGGAGGAGGAGGAGAAGGAGGGGGAGGAGATAGGGGGAGGAGGAGGAGAAGGAGGGGGAGGAGATAGGGGGAGGAGGAGGAGAAGGAGGGGGAGGAGATAGGGGGAGGAGGAAGAGACGGAGGGGTAGGGGGAGGAGAAGGAGGGGGAGGAGGAAGAGACGGAGGGGTAGGGGGAGGAGAAGGAGGGGGAGGGGGAGGAGAAGGAGGGGTAGGGGGAGGAAGAGACAGAGGGGGAGGAGGAGGAAATGGAGAAGGAGGGGTAGGGGGAGGAGATGGGGGGAGGAGGAAGAGACAGAGGGAGAGGAAGAGGAAATGGAGAAGGAGAGGAGGGAGGAGGAGGGGGACGAGGTATTTCTGCTCCTCCTCTCGGGTGTTCTGACCTCACTGATCTCGACTGAACTCTAAATAATAAATGTTTTACTCCTTCTCTCTTTGACAGCAGGTGCAGGAGGCTCACCTGGTCCCCGGGGCGGCGCAGTACTCGGTGTAGTATTTGATTTTGGGTTCGGTGCCGCTGGTTCTCAGCGTGGCCACGACGCCGTTCTGTAGACTGAAGGTGATCATGTGACTGCTCCTCGTCACAGGAAGTACCTCCACAGGAAACACACAGACGGGCACATATTACTCAAGGACTAAATAAAGTTTGATCCCTGACTTTGCTCATGTGTTACTGAACCAAACCGTCTTACAGATCTGAGGTCGGGCTGGCTGCTGTCGTATCCTGTGGTGGCGTCTCTGACGTGGACGATCCGGACGCCGCCGCACGTCTTCGGGTACGATCCTTCGCCGTCAAAGTTTCTGATCCGGCTGAAGATCTTCTGGATGGTGGGGGGGTCGTTACAGACCACGTAGGAGGTTTTAGACACGTGATATCCATACCTGGAGACAGGAAGTCACAATAGAAACTATCAGAATAAGAAGAAACATCTTCACACGTAAAATAATTACTTTCTGCTTTTCAAGAAAAAGAAGTCTCAGCGCTGTATTTCTGAAAAATCTACATCCAACCTCAGCTTTAAAGTCCTGGAATGTTTCAAGGACCTCTAAAACCTCCTGAAGGACCGTCTAACCTAAGGACTACATGAACATCACAGACTCCGGTGGCCGCTGCCCTCTAGTGGTGGAAAAGATGAAGAACAGCCTGCAGCTGACTTTTGTAAATGTGATTTTAAAAATGATTATAAAGGTTTTAAAAGGTAATTAAACAGGATGAAACTCAACCTTTCAAATCTTCAGTATGTTTACATACATACACTGAACAAAATTATAAATGCAACCCTTTTGTTTTTGCCCCCATTCATCCTGAGCTGAACTCAAAGAACGAAGACTTTCTCTCTGTACACAAAAGGCCTGTTTCTCTCAAATATTGTTCAGAAAACTCTCAAAATCTGTTAGTGAGGACTTCTCAGCCGAGATAATCCATCCACCTCACAGGTGTGGCATATCGAGATGCTGATCAGACAGCATGGGGATTGCACAGGTGTGCCTTAGGCTGGCCACAATAAAAGGCCATTCCAAAATGTGCAGTTTCCCTGTCTTGGGGGGTCCGAAAACCAGTCAGTATCTGGTGTGACCGCCATTTACCTCATGCAGTGCAACACATGTCCTTCACATAGAGTTGATCAGGTTGTTGATTGTGGCCTGTGGACTGTTGGTCCACTCCTCTTCAATGGCTGTGCGAAGTTGCAGTCAGGTCGAGACCCTGATGAGCATGCAGATGAGCTTCCCTGAGACGGTTCCTGACAGTTTGTGCAGAAATTCTTTGGTTATGCAAACCGACTGTTGCAGCAGCTGTCCGGGCGGCTGTTCTCAGACCATCTCGGAGGTGAAGACGCTGGATGTGGAGGTCCTGGGCTGGTGTGGTTACATGTGCTCTGCGGTTGTGAGGCCGGTTGGATGTACTGCCAAATTCTCTGAAACGCCTTTGGAGACGGCTTATGGTAGAGAAATGAACATTCAATTCACGGGCAACAGCTCTGTTGGACATTCCTGCCGTCAGCATGCCAACTGCACGCTCCCTCAAAACATGCAACATCTGTGGCTTTGTGCTGTGTGATGCAACTGCACATTTTGGTGTGGCCTTTTATTGTGGCCAGCCTAAGGCCTTTTATTGTGGCCAGCCTAAGGCACAGCTGTGTAATCCCCATGCTGTCTGATCAGCATCTTGATAATGCCACACCTGTGAGGTGGATGGATTATCTCGGCAAAGGAGAAGTGCTCACTAACACAGATTTTGACAGATTTGTGAACAATATTAGAGAGAAATAGGCCTTTTGTGTACATAGAGAAAGTCTTAGATCTTTGAGTTCAGCTCATTATGAATGGGGGCAAAAACAAAAGGGCTGCATTTATAATTTTGTTCAGTGCATATAATTACAGTTTAGTCTCATGTCAACACAGTTAATTATTTTTACCACTCAGCTCAATACTTTTCATTTTGCTGATAATACTTACTGTAGTTAAGTATTTTCACGGTGTAAAGTAGTGAGTGTACAGCTTGTTTAACAGTGTAAATTTGCTGTCCTCTCAAAATAACACATCACCATTAATGTCTAAACCACTGGCAACAAAAGTGAGTACTCCCCTAAGTGTCATTTCTTTAGTGTTGTCACATATAAAGATATGATAAATTATTTACTAAAATGTGAGGGGTGTACTCACTTCTGTGAGATACTGTACTTTTACCTAAAGGATCTGAATACTTCTTCCACCTCAGATCATTTCCATCTCTTGCTCCCACATCCAGAACTTAATTTCTAACCCTCTGCTGACATGAAAACGTACGTCTGGTAGATGTTGTGCAGTTGCTGGTTCAGACTCAGGTTCTTATTTTGGAGGTAAGCGGCCATTTCAGCCACGACGGCCGCCGAGCTCACGCCGTCTTTCTCAGGGACCAAATTGCCGCACAGGAAACCTGAAGACGTCAAACACAAACACGTTTTTGTACAGTTTAACATCTCTTCGCTCTGCTGTTGTACGTTTCTGTTTGTCAAATCTGAAATCACATAAACCAGAAAATGTCTTCATTCCAGAAGGGATCAACTGGAACCTTCCAAATATCTAATATCTCGATTGTATCCTTTATTTCTTGTGTGCATTAATCTGAAATAGTTTTACTGTTCTTTTTATCACTTGACATGAATAAGGTGAGAAAGTGTCTTGGTTCTAGGTTCATTCATCCACTTTTCTAAAAAATCTAAGATATATTGTTGGTTGTTGATTTGATTTATGCCTTTTTATTACTCGTGACATTAAGAGTCTGATGTTTCCTAGTTAGTTTTTCAAATTTCTCTTCTGCTGAAGTCGACATTTATGTACAGTTTAACTGCTGTTCTGCTTGTTGAAAAATAAAATTGATGTGATTTTTACTTCTGTTGGTTAAATAAAGGTCCTAACCTTCAAGTCTGCACTGAGGGTTTACATCAGAAAGACTCTTAGAGCCAATCAGCTGACAGGATGATTGAGGAGTTTCTCTTTAAATAAAAATCAGTAAATAATCAACTTGGTTACCGATCGACTCCTCGAAGGCAAATATGACCGTGTTTCCTGTTTTGGAAAGTTCATGTATTCTGTTCCCGATCCATTTAAACCCAGGAAGAGTTTCCTGTTGAACAAGGACAGACAGGAGACCATCATCATCATCACCATCACCATCATCATCATCATCATCATCATAAAACGGACAGAATGATTAGTCCTGTTTCATTATCCTGATTTCCATTTTTAAACCCTCGGACCTCAAAGTGGAATCCCTCGATGCGAGCGAAGGCCTGCAGGATCTTAGACGACACGGTGGTGGCCAACATGAACACCTTCTGAACGTCTGCAGGATCTGGATGAGCCTCCTTCCAATTAAAGAACATCCACCAACCCAACAGGGCCGCCAGCTCATTACCCGTGAACACCTTCCAACCGCACCTGTAAATAGAAAAATACACGTCAACTACTCCCGGTAAGACCGGCAGATACAGGACAGGTCAACTACTCCCGGTAAGACCGGCAGATACAGGGCAGGTCAACTACTCCCCGGTAAGACCGGCAGATACAGGTAAACTACTCCCGCAACAAAAATGTCAGTTACCCGTCAGACTTCTCTGCGACAGCCAAACGGTCAGCATCAGGATCCGTTGCCAGAACGATTCGAGCGTTTTCCTCCTCGGCCAGATTAAGAGAAAGCTCCTGGAGAACACACAGAAAACAAAAATAATAAAATACTGACCATTAGAAATCAATTTGGAGAACTGCAATCTGTGTCTTACCAGCACTGACTCTCCCTCCTCGGGGTTGGGGCAACGGACGGTGGAGAAGTTGGGATCAGGGTCTTTCTGCTCAGGGACGGGGATCGGCGGAGCGAAGCCAAAGGAGTGGAAGGCCTGCTGGACAAAGGTGTGTCCGACACCGTGGAACGATGAGTGGACAAACTTCAATGGACAACTTCTGTTCAGATCCCTGTGAGACACATCAGAAGGTGGTGAACTTCTCACAATACATTAATTTGGAGGTTCGGTCCAAAGCAACGTATAAAAAGTGCATTCAAACTCAACATAAACAAGCTGGATGTCAAAGGTTTGAAGTGCAGCCCTCCCAAATGAACAGAACTACATCACAAGTGCTGGAAGTGCTAGCTTGAGGTGTCGAGGATTAGTGCTACGGCATAAAATATGCAGTGACTCTGTAATTCCTCTCACTGCCCTGTAGACCCTGTATCCTGTAGAGCTCCAGACGTCTGGGGGACAGCTCCTGAGATCCGTGGACAAGCTCCAGAGGTAGAAGGACTAGCTTGCGAGGACCAACTGTATAAGTCTATCACCCAGAGGTCTGGGTGCTGGTTGCAGTGTTCTGCATGCTAATCGCAGAGTCCTGGGTGCTAGTTGCAGAGTCCTGGGTGCTAGTCGCAGAGTCCTGGGTGCTAGTCGCAGAGTCCTGGGTGCTAGTCGCAGAGTCCTGGGTGCTAGTTGCAGAGTCCTGGGTGCTAGTTGCAGAGTCCTGGGTGCTGGTTGCAGAGTCCTGGGTGCTAGTTGCAGAGTTCTGGTTGCAGAGTCCTGGGTGCTAGTTGCAGAGTTCTAGTTGCAGAGTTCTAGTTGCAGAGTTCTGCATGCTAATCGCAGAGTTCTGCATGCTAGCTACAGAGGTGAGGGGACTCGCTTCCTTCTCTTACCTGTGGAAGCAGAGGGAGGTGAGCTCGTCCATGTAGCAACTGCCGATTTGTGCCAGGGGGTCGGTCCTCAGGGAGCAGCTCTCCACCAGCTCCTCATCCCAACAGGAGGCGCTCCATGGCTCCAGCTGCTCCTCGATACTCCGCAGGATCTCCTTGTCGTGAGGTGAGGAGATCTGAGCGCCGTTACACCAATACACCTGCAGAGGGGAATAAAGATACAGACCCGAGGCCTCTTATCAGTAAACGTCAGGAGGAATTTTGAAATTCACACAAGAAGAAATTGATTAACTTGAGTGTACAATTATGGTGAATTTAGACGCACTACTGGCCACGAGAGTCTCCCAGAGGGATTTAAATTTGGTGTAAAACTGAAACAGACAAACTGAACCTGTTTTTTTATAAACAGCTGCAATCGAAATGATTCAACCCTCATAACACAAGTGGGCAGTATATCGACTTGTTAGGGTATATTGATATATTTTCAAATGAGATATAGGATGAAAAATACACCGTTTATATTGATATAGTTGATGTTGCATTAAAATACACAAGCCGTTTCTTCTGTAAAGCTTCTCTCTCCCTCAGCGCGCAATCAAATTTACAGGTAAGAGACCATATTTTATTGCCAAAATATAACAGCACCTCATGTCTCTTAATTGCATCCTCATCTCCTTCACTTCGCGTCTTTTCCTTGTGTCATAATGCCCCCCCCCCACGGAGAGACCCAAGGAGGAGAGAAGAAACTGAAATATGTTTTTATAAATGAAGCGTTATAAAATCGGTGTTTCACCTGCACATGAAGAACAACCTGCATTTATACTGTGTCCTGCTCAGAGGCACAGGACCATTAATATTTATATTATAAATTATTTATTGATATTCAGATTGTGAATTCATTATTTAATAATCTTATCCTCTTACATATAATCTTTTATGTATGTTCTACTATTATTATTATTATTACTACTACTATTATTGTTACGTCTTATAGATATATGTATTGTGTTTTTTTATCCTTAACCTTTCCTCTCCTGTACTCCTTATGAGATTGTTTTGGTGTTTTCCTCTCTTGTTGTTCCTCTCCTCTCCTGGAATGTTCATTCAAGGCCGAGAGAGGATCTCTGTTCCCCAAAACATAGAAACCTAGACTGTGTAAATGATGATGCAGCCCTTTGCTCTGGGCCAAAGTTGGTTGTGCTCCTTTTGTTCTTCAGAGCTACAGTGAAAAACAGGTTTTAACCAGACAGTGGCAGAAAAGCGGAGGAAGAAGGAGAGCTGTACTTCCTGTCCGGTGTTTCCCAGCAGCCTGACTCGCGCTGCTTTCTCACCTTGTATCCGTTGTCTTCTTTAGGATTATGTGAGGCGGTGATCATCACTCCGGCCGCCGCTCCCAGCTTCTTCACGGCGTACGGCTGAAACAAACACACAGGTAGTAATGAAATGCTGCCGGCGTGGGCTCGGGGCAGCTGACTGCAGCAGGAAGTGATGCGCTAGTGCTTCCTCACCACGTACGGCGTCGGCACAAACGTGGAGAAAAGATGAACAGGAACGTCTCTGCTGAGCATCACGGCCGCCGTCAGCTTCGCCAAACTGAAGCACACAAACACAAAGAAAACCGAACTGATGGTTTTATATTCAGGAAAACAGCTTCCCAAAGTGTCCGACTGTAACGAGTGCCGTCAGCACCGATTCATGATCACCGTGTGTTCATGGTTACCGCTGACTGCTGCAGCCGCTCTCCTCCTGCCCTCTGGTGTCAAAACCCACAACCACTCCTCTGCTGCTGAAGTCTGCAAAATACCTGGACAGGTACGAATATAAACCCTGAAGACAGACACAGAATAGAGATTTAAAAAACAGAGGAAAAGGACTGTGCTGTGGGATCAATACAAAAACTAACGATTATCATTATCGGCACAGAAGGACATCAAAAGAAAACCCGTTCCATGTGCTGACAGTAAAATAAACACGAGCAGCACAAAATGGCTCATAAAACGAGATTTGCAGAACCGTCGAGACGACAGGAAACGATGGAGAGACGATGCAACAAAAAGGTGCAGTCCGGATTCCACCGGGTCGCATCTTCACCGCAGAGACTGAACTTTCAGGGTCGTGCAGCGATTAAAGTTCGTACCTGAAGCACTGATTCAATTCGATTTTATTTATATAGCGGCAAATCAGAACAACAGTTATCTCAGAGCGCTTTTCATAAAAGAGCAGGTCTAGACCGAACTCTGTGATGATATTTACAGAAACCCAACAGGTCCCACCAAGAGCAGCACTTCCTGCTTTCCCTTCCGCCTGCAGGAGGATTTTCAGATCGTAACCAACTTTAGAAACTGCAAACGACAGATTTAACCGATGTTTCATATTTTAATGTTAAGAACACTCACCAGACGGTTCAGTCCAGACAAGGGTTGGGTGTCTTTTAAAATTTTACAATACCAGTACCCATTAAGTGATCCAGATACTAATACTTCAATTTTATCGTTTTAGTTACATTTTTCATACTTTTGTTAGGCACATACGGGAAAGAAGAGCCGTATTACTTTCTCTTTCTTTCGGTCCGTTGTTGTTGTTTGTTTGGCTGCAATGTAAAAACCACACAAAGTGTCATTTTTTCCCCACAATCTGTTTACAAAAAGTATTGAATGAATGATGTTTTGATGCTGGTCTGTTTCGGTCGATACCTTAAAAAGGTATCGCTACTCGATACCCATCCCTAGTCCAGACGCAGAACCGCACATTTGGCGTTGGCCTTAAACTGCGTCAGAGTGGCGGTTCCGGAGACGTTGGGATCTCACAGAATCTCGCGGGATCAAAACGTGACTTCAGACACAAACAAACATGGAGGCAGACTGCCGTCGTCAGCTGGTCGACCGTTTATACACTTTATAATGTGAGCAGATTCACAAACTACAGGATCAGGACCAGCCGCGGGTCAATAAAGTCCTGAGATGGTCGGTAGGCGACTCGGCCCAGTTATCCTCTTGTGTGGCATCATCTGCAGAAATATTGATTATTATTATTACGATATAACGTTTGGTCTCCGATACATCGTTCCTACGATTAACACAAGTTACAGTTTAGAGCTGCCGCTTTTCATCATCGATGATTCTGCGGATTATTTGTTCGATTGTTTGTTCTGTCTGAAAGAACGTCCCAACGTGACGAGCAAAGTCCGTCTCCGGAGAAGCGGATGAAGATGACGGAAACAACAAATCGATTCTAAAATTAGCTGCTAATTAACTTGAGTTGATCGACTAATTGATTAATGGACAAACAGTTGCAGCTCTATCACAGTTAGTCCAGCAGAGCAGCGACACTTTCTACAATATAAAAATTACAAAATCAAATCTATGAATACAAATATCACTAATTATATTATTATTTTTCCCGGGAAATGTTCCTAATCAAAAACAACCTGCCGACCGTCTGTGAGCTGGACTGAACTCGTGATACTGAAGCGGTTCTGATCTGGTCTGACCTGTGTGGACTGGATGACGGTGAGGTCGTTAATCCGGTTGAATCCGGCGCCCATCGGCGCTCTGAGTCCCGCCGTGCCGAAGCTCATCCTGCTGCAGAGCCTCGTCCTCAGCTCGTCCACACGACCCGCCGCCACCAGAGACTCCACCTGAGCCCGAGTCCAGCGGTTCTGCAGGAGAGGAAACCCATCAGAGCCTGATCTCCCTTCATCAGCTGCTTCTATAAAACATTTAAACCCATCATTTGTTGACAGATTTACGTCTTCAGCAGGAACCAATGGGCTCGCAGCTGAGAGCCTCAGACAGGAAGTCAGACAGGGTGCTGGTTTGAGTCTGAACATGAGGTTTAATGACGATAAGAAAAATACAGATTAAACCCAAACTGATAGTTTAAAGAATGAATCCCTAGATGGTCTGAGCAGCTGGAAAAAAGAAAACTTCAACAACCATCAACAACAAGACATTGAGGTTGAAATAAGAAAAGTAAAATGTGTTAAAATTATTTGCATCGGTGCTTCGTTTTAATCCATGTAACTATACAGCGCACTGTTTCGCATGGGACATTTATTACCGTCGCACGTCGCGCCTACGCTGTGTGAACACGACGCGATGATGATGCCGCTGTTTGCAAAGTGGAGGAAGAGAGAAAATAGGAGGGACGAAGAAGAAAGTGTCTTAAGTCTGGGATCATTTCAAGCTAAAAGAAAACAACAACTCTGTAATGTCACAGTCGCCTCGGCAACAGCACGACGGTGTAATAATACGCCACCGCCAAGCAAAAGTACTTCTTAAACAATGAAACGAAGCTTCGAGTACTAAAATCATCGTTTGCTGCAACAAAAACCCAAATGAAGAAGTGTTGAAACAGTCGAAAGTTCATTCAGTTCTGAAAATCTGAATCCTATCAGACGGGGGGCCGTGGTCCAACGCGTGTCAGTTTAGGGGTCCTTGATGTAAAAAAGTGACTTTTAGATGTTTATTACAGAAACTGTGACCGAAACAGTCGTCCGTTCTGTCACTGCGTTACTTTTTTATTATTGTTTGTTTGAGAAGAGACAAATCTAATTTAAATTTAATCGTACCCGGGTTGGCCACAGGTTAGTTTGCATCGGCAGTCCCTTTGCCACATGTTGTTAAGGCTTCCTAAAATGATGTGTTTCACTAATGGATGGAAATGGAGTGAAAATAAATGATTCCCCTTTTTTACTGGGGACCCCCTGGATCCTCCTCAAGGACCCCTGGGGTTCCCCCGGACCCCACTTTGACAACCACTGCTCTACACGCCTCAGGTGTTTTCTCAGATTCAGACTGAACGACGTGAGACGAACGTTAAAACTTTCCTTTTATAGAGACAACAACTCACGGAGTGATTCAGAAAACATGATATTTATATATTACTTCATAATACTCGTGTTGACCGTATTCCTGATGCCTGTCTTATGGATTTTGGACAGGAGGACCGTGAAGCAGCAGGTTTCCAGATTAGAGTGGAGAAGAGACGGCCCGCTGAGCGTCTGTCTGGATCTTTTCCAGACTGCTGACATTTCCTAGCGGAGGTCAGCAGCAGCCGTGGCCTTTAAACACCACACAGCCCCGAGGTCACGGAGGTGTGCGTGTCAGCACGTCGAACACGTTTCATGTTTTCACATCAGAAGCTTCGGCCTCCACCTGGACTCTAACAAACAGCTGATCAGAGTCAGTTTACCCAGAGTTCAATCTTGTGCGTGAGTGGGGGGAAGAAAGAAGCCGTCACCGGTGGAGCTCCGATGGGATGATTCGCCATGGCAACGGGTTAACAAAAAAGGCCCGGGCGAAGAGATGCTGACTGTGCACATTTATCTTTAAAGAATCAGAGCAGGCGTCAACAAGTCAACTCAATAAAGCAGACGTACATTTAATAAATGATGAAAGAGCAGGAAACTGAGTGGGTGTTTATTTTAAATATATCTGTGGAGCTTTAATCATCGCTCAAAGACTCAAAGACAATCTGATCCAGCAGTGACGTGTTCGGTGATCTGAGGTTAAAAGAAAGGAGATTATAATTTTGGCTCAGCAGCGTTCGGCGGTTTATTTCAGCTGCTTCTTGTAGTTCATTCAGATCCTCCCTCTCTGACAGCGGCTGCACCCTGATGCTGCTCCCTCTGTTATATAAACATATATTATGTGCATTATTTCAGGAGTTATGGCGCACATCTGTCAGGTGTCGGCGTTATTAAAACGGGCCGTGGATCACGTCAATATCTTCCTGTTTCCCGTCTGAAATCTGTAACTGCTCCGGTATATTGATGGATATTTTATTTCCAATTCAATGACCCAGAACGTCAGCTGTCAGCCAATCACAGGGGAACTTTGTGAACCCTGACGTTTAACAGCTGCCTTGGTCATCAGTATGTTAAACAATAAGTCTTTATTTTCTTTTATATATCAGGATTGGCTCTGAACTTATGTTTGTTTTCTTTTGGTCTGTCTTTTAAATGTTTGTAAAATGCTTTGTGTATTTGCTATATTAATAAATGTCCCTTAGAGCTGCAACTATTAGTCTTTTAATTGGATTTGTTGTCAACTGTTAAATTCAATAAATTAAATTAAATGAATCCCTTAGAGACCTTTTCAAAGGAATGATGATTCCAGCTTCTTCAAAGTGAATATTTTCCGGTTTCCTCTGTGACTCCAGCTTGGGGAAACTTTTCAGGACAATTGATCCATTAATCGAGAAAATATTCGATAGATTAAATCGATCATTACTAAAAATAATGTTTAGCTGCAGCCTTGTTTTGCAGGACAGAAGGTCCACATGAGTCTGAGTTTACAAAATACATAAAGCACATCAGGGTGGACTCAGTGGGCGGTGAAGCCAGCGGGATGGTTGGGTGTTGGATCTGAACATCCAGCTGGTTCAAAGGAAAATATTTTACCTGGACGTTGAAAGAAGGCTGGTTGGCTGAAGGCATTTATATAAGCACATCATTAAAACACGAGTTACACCAACTGTGCAGGCATTTTTTTCTGGCTACTCGCCACCTATAAAGCAAAACAGCTGAGTCATGCTGCAGTTTAATCGCCTGATAACCCACATTGCTGATCTCCATCACGACCCAGAGAGCCGCTGGTGCTCCGCACTGCGGGCAGCACTGCCTCAGTCACCCCGGTGCCACCCCGCTGACCAACACACCTTTGCATCGACACTCAGAACTCCCATTTAAAACCCCGCAACTTTTAGATTTTCTTGCATCCTGACCAAATTCATTAAAATGATAAGCACGATTTGGTATATTTTCTTAAGTAGTTTGTTCCAGTGAAACACTCGGCATACATAACTTCAACCCAGACGCCCCTGTTTTAAATAAATGTCCTTTTTTTCTACCTGCTGCGCCAGCTCACAAAGTTTCTGTTTAGTGAAATAAAGGGCTATTTTAGTACGTAAATTATGCGCCGATTTAACCATTAATCATAATTATACATAATATACATGATCTTAAACAAGTATAACTACATCTGTCTACAAACACGCAACTGCGTTTTAAAATGCTAAATTTTTAAGGGAAGTTTTGTGTGACGTTCCCGTAACGCACCACCGACCGGGGCTTAAGTCCCCGGCTGCCTAAACATCACGCTGCGACAGACGGACCGACGCTCACCTGGTCCCAGATCAGCCACTGGTGCACCGCTTTGTCCAGCCGCGGGTCGCCGGTGCTCTGACACCGCAAGTTGGCGTTCAGGTCCCCGTTAAGTCCGTTATCGTCTCCCATGCTGACAGACAGAGCCGGGCTAGCTAATACACCTGCAGCAGGGCCATTTGACTGTCGGGTAAAGTAGCGAACAGCTAGCAGGCAGCCGGCTGCCGTGTGACGTGCTGCGGCGTTAGCTGATCGGCTCCTGGACACACATCTCCGGCTGGCGGTGAACTTACACTGTCGCACCGAGGCTAATGTTTGCCACACGCTAAACCTGCACTACAGACTCAGGGAGCCGACAGCAGCCAGCTAACCTGAAGCTAACAAAGAGTGTTACTCTGTAAAGATACTCAGAACTATTAAAACTCCAAACACGCAAAGTTCCGAGGCGCCACCAAACACGACATCCGGTCTACTTCTAAAAATAAAAGCATTTTCGTCTTTGGAAGAATTAAAAGCATTTAATAGTTTTATAATTCACGTGTTAACATTGATTCTGACCTGTAATATCTGATTACAGCAGACATTACGAACACTAATAAACGTTTGTCCTTCAAAAATTAAAATTGATGTGCTCAAATTTCAAGAACTTGATGCCCAACTTCCGGTCAAGCTAGCTTAACTTACAGTGAGTTAACCACGTTCAGGCCCCCAAAACAAACATAAAACCTGCATTGATTGAGGTTTTTGTCCAAAAATGACATGTTATCAGCTTATAAAGTGGTTGTGGCTAACATGATGAAGGTGAGTCCAGTGTTTTCTCTCTGTTAGCTTTGTGTTCTGTCTCCACCTGCTCCTGAGGGAAACATCTGGCTCTTTAGCTGCTAAATGCTCCAGTATGTTCACCAGCTGCTCTCTAAGTTTGTCTTTTGGATTAAAGTGCTATATAAATTCAGCAATTTAGCATTTAATCAGACTAGAATAGATCTAGTTTTAAATAGTAACCACGCAGAAAGCTCCAGGTCTAAAAAGTGAAGCCTTAAACCTGCATCCTCTCCTGCAGCCAGCAGGGGGCGACTTAAACCTGCGTCCTCTCCTGCAGCCAGCAGGGGGCGACTTAAACCTGCGTCCTCTCCTGCAGCCAGCAGGGGGCGACTCCACCGGCTGCAGAAAGAAGTGTGATTGTCTAGAAGTCTCTGAGAAAATGTTGCTACTTGTCAGCTGATTTATTCCCTCAGTAAACACTTTCCTGATGAGTTTATGGTCTCAGTCATTAGTTTCAAGTCTTCTTCAACACAGCATGATGTTCATTTAATAAATTATGGTCCTGTTTAGAGGAAAATAGACCATAAAGCAGGGGAGGCTTTAGGGCGGGGCTACAAACAGATTGAGAAAGCTTATCCGGAGTCGTCTGCTCATTTATCAGTACGTTTTGTTTTAATCCAGCTAATATCCCAGTTAACGTAATTTACAGATGCACCTTGCTAACCAAGCTAGCCAGCTCCTCCCTCTCGTCCAAATATGGTCACATCTGGTTCCAAAAACGCCAAACTGGAGGCTTCAAAACGGTAGTCCACAAACCAACGGGTGACGTCACGGCGGTTACGTCCACTTCTTTTATACGTCTACTGTCTAAACCGGATTTCTTAAATGTAGGCTGTTGAATCCATGTTTTAATGTTTTTTGAACAGGTGTAGAAAGAGAAAAGTACAGGTGAGGCATTGTGCTGTTAGTGGTAGTTATAAAGTGTTGTTTTCATCACCCTGAAATATTCATGATGATGTAATTAGAGTATTTTTAATGGAAAATTAAGGGGATAATTAATGGATTGTAATATAATGAGGTATTTGTGTGATTGCTTTTTGTGTAGTTTAAATGGTTTTTAATGGGCATTAAAATACCCTTAATTTTTACCCCTAAAGGCCTTAGTTTTTTTGTTGTTAAGATGTAAATGAGGGATACTTTTTGAGTGTTTATCTGTTGTATATCCATTGATGTATGTATTCATGTATTGGATAATGTATCCATTAATTAACCCCAAATTTGGGTGTAACCCTGTGAAATTAACCAAGTGACAAAATCAACCCCGAATCTGAACCTTAAATGAAAAAGAAAGGTAATTTAAAGGAGCAGTGTGCAGGATTTAGAGGCATCTAGTGGTGAAATGGCAAACTGCAAACAATTGGTTTGTCTGCTCCAGGCTACTGTAGCAACATGGCGATGCAACATGGAAGAGGACCCGCTGCTTCTACGTAACCAAACACCAGGATTCTTATTTTAAGGTGATGGTACACTACGGAAAACACACACTGCTGCCAATAGAGCCACCTAAATCCTACACGCTGATCCTTTAAAAGGTGATCCGTACACTGTAAAAGGCTTTTTAACCAATAAGATACAACATGTAAATCAGACAGATCTGGCTTAATGCATCCTAGAACTCTCTCTGTTCTGGACACAGAAGATGAAACTGACAAAAAAAAGTGTTCAAAAAGAACATGCGACATGTTTTAATCTATTTAATCTATAAAGTCAGTTTCTACGCTGATGATTCTCCACTGTCCTGATCAGTTTCAGGTGTTCGTCCATCTATCAGCTGACAGCTGAACTGATCTGTAAAGGCGTCCAGCAGGTGAGGGATGGTTTCCTCCACGCTGACGTCCCTCTGCAGCTCGGCGCTCACGGACGTCACTCCTTTACCTTCGATACCACATGGTATGATGTGGCTGAACCACGACATATCGGTGTTACAGTTCAGAGCCAAGCCATGAGACGTGATGTAGCGACCACAGTGGATTCCTAGAATAACATCAATACAGAGATCTCTGTTTCTAAAAGGTTGAAATGCAAACTGAATGTTTACTAACAACATGAAGTTACTGATAGCAGTAATCAAAACTACTTTACAAAACACATCAGGCCTCATGCAAGAACAACTCTTTCAAACTGATTTGTTCTTAAGCAGAACGTACAAGGGATTTGGAAGAATTGCTTGTATTCAATAATTTTATCTTCAGCAGTGATCCGGACCTGCATTCCAGCCATGTAAGTTTGACTCGTGATGACTTAATCTAATGAAAGGTTAGAGACTTTATCCTGTCAGTTTGTCTCTTTACAAAGACAAGTGTTGCAGTATGAGAGCACATCCTGTGGGAAACACTGAGGAAAAAGCATATTTTGACTATTTTAATTTATGCAATGGTATAAAAAGGCAAAATAAATGGTAAAAATGTGAATGGATTTTTTTCGGTATTCAGCAAATTTTTTCATTAAATTCGGTTTCGGCTTCAGGCTACAATTCTCATTTCAGTGCATCCCTAACCGAAATCCACTCAAATAAACAGGAATAACTAAATTAAAAGAAAGAAAAACTCATTTTGTTTAATAATATGTACTTTCTGCAGGTGTCTGTGCAGGTGAGCATCATCTGTTATAACACCTGGTCATTTTCGAATCGGGCGAAATTTCTGCCAAATCGGTTGCTGTTTGCTGATCAGTTTAACGACATTGTGATTTATTTCCTAAATGATCAACAATCTGGCTCTCGAACAATCAGTTGGAAATGTTGGTCGTCCGTCTGCAGTTTGAACAGTTCTACGGTTTCCCAACATGGCTGCTGTCCAAAGATCTGTTTAAAGCTGCAGTGAGCTTGTTTTAATGTTACTGCCGTAGTATTTTATTATACACGAATCAGTCCAACTTTGTACGCCGGTATGAAAAAACCTGACAGAGCAAATCAAGAAGTTTACAAAAGAAGTACAGAAATGCTCCTGCATGAGGCCCAGTGACAGAGAAGTCGTACCGATGGCACAGATCTTGTTGTCCCCGACCCAGACTCCGGTGTGGGGAGATGTCGACGCCTCGATACCAAACCTGCTGCAGACGGAGATGATGGTCTTCTCCAGCTCACAGACGTACCAGCGAACACTCTGCGGGACCAGATCAGACATGAAGACGCGTCCGCTCACATTAACAACAATAAAATCAAGAATAAATCAGGTCAGACCTTCTTGAAGCTGCTCAGGTTGAGGATCGGGTAGCAGACCAGCTGTCCCGGCCCGTGGAAGGTAATGAGTCCTCCTCGGTTGGTGCGGTGGACATCAGCCCCCAGCAGGCGTAGGCGGTCCAGCAGGGGGGCAGGGTAAGGTTTGTGCCGGATCCCGGTTGTGTAGACGGGCGGGTGCTGACACAGCAACAGAGCGTGAGCAGGACCGGACCGGTGCCGATCCACATAGACCTGTTGCAGCCGCAGAGCCTCCTGGTAGGAGACCAGGCCCAGACGGACCACCTCCACCACCGGCCTGCCGCCCTGCATCAGGACTTGAACCAGGACACAACACCCTGACATTAAAACACAAACCTTCAATTCAATCAGGAGTTTGTTGCCCTAATAGTAACATGAAGTGACCAGTTAGAGGTCTACGATTTGGACGGTTGGTCAACACCCCTTGGCGTTGTTATTCAACGTTTAGAAGTTAGTTAGTGCGCGTCTGTTAGCAATCTATTCAAGCTTCTATTTTTTGTGAAGGAACCAGCATGAAAGAGGAGATTTTCCCCTGTTTGGAAACACTTTGAGCTGATCTCACCTAATAAGGTATTTACATAACGTAGCGTAATATAAATAACAAATTGGAGAAAGACTGGAGAACCTCCTAAATGTATATCTTTTCTCCAGGGATGCACCGAATGTTCGGCCATCGAAATTAATCTGCTGAAAATAACAAAACAAGCACTTTTGGTGTTCGACCTAATCAGTTAAAAGACCGAAACATGTCGGCAGTGTGGAAGCATTTTAAAGAGGTGGTATTACGCTCATATTCACAGGTTTACATGGTTTAATTTTCAAAAAACCCCATATTTCTGTCCTACTGCACATTGCTGCAGCTCCTCTTTTCACCCTGTGTTGAAGGCTTCGTTTTAGCTATGGAGTGATGCATCTTGTCTCTAAATGATCTTTGTTGGGAGTTGCACATGCTCAGTTCCTAGTTAAGGACTACTAGCCAATCAGAAGCAGAGAAGGGCGGGTCAGCGAGAAGCCGGTAAACAGCTCGGGTTCAGCCGTACTTGTTGCCGACCAGCTCGGCAACATGGACTGGAGCGAGAGTTTCAGAGCGGTGAGTTATTAATCTGTATCCATAAAGTTTTAACTGAGCTCTGTCTCTACATCACAGGAACAACTTTATGTCCACTGACTGCCTGGAGGGTAGCTAGTGTTTGGAAGGGAGAGGAGAGCTGTGTGCTGCAGCTCGCTGTTTTTCCACTGGTGTTTATGAAACGTATTTTCATTATGACGTCACAAGAAAGGGAAGCGGCTGGACTACAAACCAGCTGTTTTCAGGCAGTTCAGAGCAGAGTTTCTGTGGGAGATGGGAACTCCCTTTGGGCTTTTTCACTTTGCAAACCTATTACATGCACAAAAAAAGATACAACTCAATAAAGAAGAGGGAAAAAGCCAAAAACCATAATACCACCTCTTTAAAGTGTCTGAGCCGTTTGCAGACGCTGTTCTGCTGAACTGTCTCCCTGCACATCCGCTCCATCTGTGGCTGACTTCTTAGATAAGAACCGCTTTGAGTGTTTCTGTCACTTGTCTGTGAGAAGGAGATTAAGCTAGCCGCACCTACATTCGGAGTGCACGCGTATTCCAGCCTTTATGGTAAGTGAACCGGCCCAGAGCGAGCCGACAGGCAGGTTAGAGACTTTATCTCTTTACAAAGACAAGTGTTGCAGTATGAGAGTCCTGCCTGAAGAGTAATTTATATAGACATAATTTATGTATTGGCATCACAAACATCATTCATTCATTTATTCAGTTCAAAGCTTCGCACACCAGAGCCATGGGGTCATTATAATCACGCTGCCTGTTTTTATTTATTGTCCACTTGGTGGCACACTAGAGCAAATGAAGCAAATGAGTGAACCAACTGGATGGAAAGATTCAGTGCTTCATGAAGCTTCATCTCGCCATCACTAGTTAAAATAACTACATCATATACGTCAGTTAACTTAAAATAAAATAAAAACATTCAATGTTGGTTTTTCCTTTCACATGGGAAACAAAGACCGGTCTCCTGGTTAAAAGTCCTGTTTTGTGGCCCACCGTCCAACCGCCTCCTTCCTCTGACTTTACTGTTAAATATCATAGACTGTAGATAAAATAAAAACTAAACACCAAAACATTGATTTGACGCCATCTCTGATCTCTTCACCATCATGTGACCCTTAAAAACCTTTAATTAATCCTCATTTTGCCTCTTTAAATGCACAAATACCTTAATCTTACTTGAGGCCTTTTTAAGATTCAGGGATTTCGGTTTACACGCTCTGATATATTTCCATCGGGAGTTGAGGCAGAGCAGCCGGAGGACGTCAGAGGGAAAACCAGGAAAGATTTTCTCCATAAAATTTGGGCCAGTTTTACCAAAATCTGTAAATATAGTTGTTTTCCGCCTTCTCCTCTTTTCCATTTTAGTGAGTTTCGGGTGCCAGTGCTCCTGTAAATTAATCTACATCCGTCCACAACCTGGAGGAGGAACTACGCTAAATTAAATAAAAAGCATAATGTTAATATATTAATATGTGTGTAGGTTACAATTTATCTGGCTAGTCTGCCTAATTCAACTGTTTGATAAATAAAACCATTTTCTGATATTTCACCACTGTGGTTGAGCTTCCACCAGGGCTGATGTTTGTGTATTCATTATAATTTCAGATAATAGTATACTATAAAACTGACCACTAGTATAATTCCAGTTACAGCAGGTTATTTTTTGTGGGTTGTTTTCATTCATTAAATCCTTGTGCAAGAAAAATGGTGGTGAGTCTCTAATTTGTTAATGTTAACGACTAACTGGTCAATAATCCTGCTTCAGTCCATGAAGCAGGATTTCTGACACAGAAATAAATGAGTTAAATTATTACTTATTCATATTTGTGTCATCTTCCTATATATATATATATATATATATATATATATATATATATATATACACACACACACATATGCAGGCTGTATCAAGATATTTAGGTTATAAATTAGGTTTTTCCTTTAAAAACTACAGATAATCCTTTAAAAATACGTTATATTACAATTACTAATATATCCATGCATCACTCCGTTACAGTCCCATTAAAAAGCCTCACCTGCATCATTACTAAAGGGTAAATTTATTAAGTTTACAGGTAACATATATATAAATAGATTAGGCTCAGTAAACGGATTCAACACTACAGCTCAGACTTAAATTACAGCTTCGTTTCTAAATCTGTTTCAGTTCAGGTGTTTTATTACCTTTTCCCCTCAGATGTCACGAGTCCTCCTCTACCTGCTGCTCTCTGCGCGCCGCCATTGTTGTTATTCGCTTCTTCCTCGAAGGTGGATTTCCGGTCTTTTTTCCTCACTCGGCTGCCATCTGCCGACCGGAAAACAAACCCTTAATTTAAAACCTAAATTAATTAATAGTATTCATCATAAATTAATAAGCCCCGTTTCCACGCTTACTTTGATTGGATTTATATTTTATTAATTTGATTTTCAAAATATTGTATTATGTGTAAACTTTTATTTATTTTTATTTTTTTCATGGTTCCCACTCGTCCTGGAAAACCTGGAAGACAGTTGACCATCTTTGCAGTAAAGTGTCCTGGAAAATCTTGTGTTATCCTGTGAAATTATTTTAACATTATGTTGCGCCAGCGTTGTTAGTCTGGTCACATGGTAGCAAAGGGTACATTTTACATTCACTTGTCAAGCACACAAGAACACAAAGGGCTCTTCAAAAGAATAAAAGAAAAATCTAGGGGAATATTATAAAAATGTGTATTTATAATAAGGAAACAGAGCATTAAAACAAGGCTAGATCAGTTTGTCACAGATAAGTCAAAGCCACAGACTGCACGTCTTTATATTCTTCAGCAGAGAGCAACACATTAGAAATATTAGTGTTATTAAATATTATATTGATGCTGATGTGATTCTGTTTGTCACACCAGCTAGATCATCACTGAAAATGATCTGTAGAAAAGAGCAGGAACTCTAATATAATATTTGTTTTGTTTTTTCAGTGAACTGTTCAATTATCTGGACGGAATAATGATGTTTGTGTTCGTTGATAAAATTCATTTGATTCGTTTTACTTTAAAACGGCCGTTCACAGGTGTCGTAAACGCAGCACTAAATACATAGGACATTGGTAAGCATCCGAATTTCCCGCTTGTCCTGAACGGAGCACGACTGACACATCCAGCACGGATGTGGGCGGGGCTAGATGTCCCGCCGGCCGCAGCCAGGACGAGTTGTCTCGGCGGCGGCAGGGCGGGGTTTGTTTTGAGAGCGGACCGGAGAGAGAAGACTCACCAGGGAAGATGGCGACCGCAGGGTCCGCCGAACGGCCGGGTAGACCGGCCAGCACAGCCGCCGGCAGGTACCGGTCCGGGCCCGGAGCTGGGTGCGGCTCCGGGTCCAGTCCGCCGGAGAACGAGACGAAGAAGTGCTCGGCGTGCGCGGAGGGGCAGTCCGGCGGCAGCCCGCCGAGCGGACACCCGGCCTGTCCCCTCTGCCGAGCCCAGAGACACTCCGGCAGCGAAGAGCGGCTCCGGAGGAGGAGTGACCCCGAGAGGAGCAGCAGCAGGCCGGGCAGGAGGAGCTGCGACAGCCGGAGAGGTCGGTGTGTTTACCGGGGAAACTACAGCTAACAGTCCGCTGTAGCAGCGCCGCCGCTGGGTGTTTGTTTTACAAACCAACCGCAAGAAAAACACAACCAGAGTTTACCAGCTTTTAGTCTGACTTTATTCTAACTTTAATGTTAACAGCTGAGGCCTGAAGAGTTTCCAATCGTCTGACAGGTAAAACTGACTGACTCCGATTCAGTCTACAGAAAATATAATGTGAACAGCTGGGTTAAGATAAGTTTTAGTCATATTATGGACTTTAGAAAGGCAGAATTAAAATGTGTTTTATTCTCGTATAGTTTGGTGAGAAGCAGAAACTGACCTCCAGTCAGCTGAGTTTGGGTACAGACCATTGAGAATATCATAAAAACAGGCGGGACATGGTTCACCAGCATGTTTACAGACCTGTTTCATTCATTTAAATGTGTAGACGTTGCAGGCAGCAGGTATAAACCGGGTTATTCTGTGGTTTTTGGTCAAATGTGTAACCAGGTCTGGTGTCAGAGGACTTGTCCGGACTTGTACAGCTGCAGGAAGTGCAGATACAGTACTACAGTACTACTACCTGTTGCATCATTTAGTCTCTACATTTTCTTAAATTATACTTTAACATTTTAAATCATTCACCAGTTAGGGTCTCCTGAATCCTTGTTATCCGTAGTGAACATAATCATTACTTTAGACAAGAGTTGGTGATATAATCACACAGACCACTCTGGGTGTATCAATAAATCAATAATCAGGACTGTGTTATGGTAATATTGGATTGTTATATCATTTGTGCATCACTGTGATGAAGAACTTTGATCTGCAGGTATTTAATTCACTAAATGAACCAAAAGAAAAGACGTGTCAGCTTATTTTATCTACAAACTCTCAATTGTTTTTCCCGAAAATTAATTCTAACATTAAATAAATGATTATACAGACAGTGATAGAAGATTTTATTCATCCACTCCTGATTTCCATGTCTGTGTTTATTTAAAATTTTATTTAAATGTTAACAAATGTAAAACGATCAGTTAAAAAGCCTCTCGTGTTCAGGTTGTGAACAGTTTGCGTCGGCTGCTGTTGTTACTCAGCAGGAAGTGACTCTGTCGTTTTGTCTCTGCAGAGTTCTTTGTCTCGCCTGCTCTCATCCCAAAGTGTTCAGACGTTCCATCGGGACAGACCGGCAAACACAAGGTGAGTTACAGACAGGGCGGGTCAGTGAACGCAGCACGAGGAGCTTGTTCTCAGACTCACTCTCCGTTTCAGCCGTTTGAGGACCGAGAGGAGGCGAAGAGGAGGAACTCTCTGACCTGTAAAGACGAAGCAGTCCGACACGTCGAGGAGCCGGTGAGTGTAACGGAGTAAAGTGATGTGAACAGTAAAGTTAAAGTGACGTATTAACACCTTCACAACCTAAAAACCTCCAGAGCACTTGATTCTTCGCTCGGCCAAAAAGGTTGTGAACTGCAGAATTTGCAAACGTTGACCTCTTGTGGCCTAGAAGCAGCTCATTCGGAGAGGAGGCTCTCTGGATGATGAAGACTCGTCTTAACGTTAAAGCCGTGTTACTTCACGTTATGAGCTGTAACGTTTTCTATACAGTTTCCCTCAGTCAGTGAATCGTTAATGGCAGTTAACGTAGCAAGTAATTATTATACTAGGGGTGTAACGGTACACAGAAATCTCGGTTCGGTACGTACCTCGGTTTTTAAGTCACGGTTCGGTGTATTTTCGGTACAGAGAGGGGAAAAAATGCAAACCTTAAATTGCTGCTGGTTTATTATGAACTTTTGTAAACATGCACATTAGTTTAAAATTTTTTAAACAAACTTCCAAATTACACATAATAAATAAATAAATAAATTATATAAAAGAAAAAAGAATAAGAAATTAAAACTGTTGCAAACTACTAACAGGTTCTCTGCTAAATAACATATTCTCAAAACAACACCACATATAGCTGATAAAATATAATAAAATATATAATAATATGGATTACAGTGCAGCATTCTGGTTATTTTATCCCGTCTATGAGCAGGATCAGTCCAGCCTGGAGGCCTGCTCAGGAGTCTAAAGTCTGTTTAAAAGCTGAAAGGCGTTTGCACTCTGCTCGTTTTGTTGCAGTGACGTTCTCCTTCGTGTGACACCATTAGTGAGTTAACAAGTTTGACGTGTTGCCAGAAACAAACCCGATGACTGCTGGGAAATGTCGGCCCGCTGCTGTCGTCTCACCGACTTGTCCGTGGTTGTATTTCACTAAGAAACCAAGTGTTCAGACAGAAGACCTTAACAATAAGGGAGGGTCTTCTCTGCACTGGCCGTGATGCTCAAGTCACTAGTTAGTGAGGGGCGGGGCTAAAGCGGCTGCTTATGTAGCGCCGCAAGGTGGAGATTTAGTCCGCCACTTAATATGTCCGTCTGGAAACTTGGAATTTACGTATATTCCACACACAAAACAAGCCTAATATTTAACGTTAAAGACTGCATTCTGAAAGTCCTGTACCGAAACGGTCCGGTACGAATACGTGTACCGTTAACGGTCCTGTTCACTTTACAGATGTGCCCTGACTTTACAATCATAAACGATGCATCGCTCATAGCGACGTTCCCAGCTGGAGAACGTGTTGCTGCTGAGTGCGCAATATCAGACAACACCGGACAGTTTCATACTTTCTTAAGAAATAAGAAAAGAAAACAGTTCTCCGGTCTGTGCGTGAGAGTTTTTGGCTGTGGGGAAATATCAACCTTTGAAACGCTGTCTACTGCAAAATCATTATTGTTGGTCCCCTCTTGTAAATTCGGCAGATGTGACACATGACGTTGTTCCTTTCTTTGTATAAATGTAGTGTCACTTTGTCCCGGCGTGTTGCAGTACCGTCACTAGACAGCAGATCAGCTGAGTGCTCGCACAGCGCTGAACATACAGTTATTTCTTACTGTATTTACCTGTTCGGTCCATGAAAGAACCTGATTTCAGTGGAACTTTCTGTTGCTGCATCAGAAACGTTCATTAAAAGATGTATTTTTGAAAGCAGTATTCATTTGATTGTCTTGTCTGTTACTTAGCATCTAAACCAACCTCAAGTTTAATTTAAAAGCTGATGACTTAAATGAGAGGCATTGTGTAATTTTGCGATTCATAATCCGAACAGTCGATTATTCGTTTCAGTCAAAATAGTCTCTAGTTTCAGCCCTAACAGAAAATGAAACCATGAAACTTCCCTGGTTGATGACTCACATTAAGACAATAATCTTTTTTATTACAGGTTTTCTGAAATGTTATGTTTAAATATGCAAATGAGTCAGTATCTAATGAAATATGCACTAATTTGCATCTGTTTAAAAAACTGAGTCAATTTCAAAAATATTTTTTTAATTTTGTTTGGATTTTGGATTTCCCTTTTTATTTCTTAAATCAGAAAATAATGTCAAAAAAGGCATAAAAAAACTGTTCTATAATTTAGGCTGTGAATTATATATGAACAAACCCCTCTGTGAAAACCTCCGGAATAAAGTCAGGAATGAAACTGGGAAAAAAACAGCCATTAAAGATATTTATTGTAAAATTCTGCACATTTTTATTGAAGATTTATATTTACAGAGCCAACATCAAGTCAAACTGAACAACAAAAATATAGAACATCAAAACACTGAGTGACAGCATGTCTGAACAGTCACTCATACAGAGCCACTCGCATAAACCTAAAGCAGGAAGTGTCAAAGGACGCCACGTGACACGTTTAAACTAATCATGCTGTCAGAAATCGACACTAGCCAATCAGATTTCGGTGTGCAGGAGAGAGAGAGAGCTTTCCAACGGTACCGGTAATCACACGGTGCAGACAGCGTAAGCGGGAGGACATGTAGCGTTAAAAAGCGAACTTTTAGGAGAATAACTGCAGGAAAATAAACTACCGAATAAGGCTGGACAATTAATCCTCCTTTAATTCACTGATTTATAGAGAGCCTATGTCCCTCCCCTTCCGGTGGACCACCATGGGATCTTATTTCGGAAAAATATTGTACGGTAGTCAATGGTGAGGGACAACAAATATTTTGATCCCGTTTGAATTGTGCCCTGAATTGTGAATTACACACATGATGTTTGTCAATTTAAAAGATACATATTAAAGTCAAGAAAGTTTCAGTTTGATGTAAAACTTTTTAGGTATAAGACTTTGAAAATACGTAATTACATAGACCACAAACCCAAAAGTCGCGTATGTGACGTCATAACTGTCTCTCTCAATGACTGAAGCTAACGTTTCTAAAGCTAACGTCAAAAAACTTGCGTGAGAGGATGATATGATAAAAGGACTGAGAGTCGTTGGATTAAACCCATTAAGTGAGGTATATTTCTGCATGGAACACAGCTTAGTAATCCAGCTAGTAGCAAACAAGCAACGAACGTTAGCTTAGCATTACCGCGCTAACATGTTTATGACGTATACTGTGTGAGACGAGAGATGTAGTTTGTTGAACAGTTTTCACACAAAACGACATGTAACTTTACTGTTTTACGACAAAATGCGACTTGACTTGCAAAATTATATTTTAAATTGACCAACTTCATATGTGTAATTCAAGGATCAATTCTAACGGGATAAAAAGATAAGTTGTCTCTCGCAATTCACTACCGTACATAATTTTTCTAAAATAAGCTCACATGACCTGGAAGTGGAAGTGAGTGACTTAGGCTCTCTATACTAACTTTAAAACTTTTAACTTTACTTTTAACAAAGATTTTTGCTTTGGAACTATATAAAATAAAAGCAAGTACTAAAAGCACAACTGTACACTAACAGTGTCTATTTAGAATAATAAAGCAACAGTCCCTTTCATACTGCTGCTGTGTTTAAAAGTGCTTAAAGGTTTTAGGCAATAACTCAGTGGAGAATGTTTTGTAGGCGACATCACGAGCCAGATGTTCCTTGATGTACCTTAAACCATTCGTCATTACTAATAACTTTTTAAAGCTGGGTCTCCGACATTGCCAGCGTTGTGTTGGACAGATTTGTGCTGCGGTGTTTATGAGAGTGAGAGAGAGGGACGAGCGAGAGGATGTGCTACAGCGCTGATCTGCAATCATTTTAAATAGGCCTAGTAAAATAAAATAGAAACAAAATCAGTATGTGGCAGTCAGCGTTGATATTCAAAATCCAAAAGAAACATCTCGTAATTAGCTCAGTAATGACATGCACTATTTTAGCTAACGTAACATAAATAAATATTTTTAGCGCCTTTTGCGTTCCGTCAACATTACGTTATCAATTACCATTCTAGGGTACTGCCCTAGAATGGTTTTAATCCTACCTGTCAAATGGGAAGTTTTGCGTGTCTGTAAACAACTATGTCTCTTCATTCTGTCCAGTTAAATATGGTGTGCCTCAGGGGTCAGTCTTAGGACCCATTTTGTTTTCCTTGTATCTGCTTCCCCTTGGACATATTTTCCATAAACATGGCATTTCTTTTCATATTTATGCTGATGACACACAAATATACTTACTTATACTTATAAGTACTCAGATCCACAGACCCTGGAATGCTGAGTTCAACTGCCTTTGTGAAGTAAAAAAAATGGATGTCAAATAATTTCCTCCAGCTGAACTCAGACAAAACAGAAATCCTGGTCATCGGGTCCCAGCAGATGGCAAATGAAATAGTGCCATCTGCTGGCTCCCTAGTAAATTACATTAAGAACCTTGGTGTTTGGTTTGATAGTAATTTAAATTTCGAGCAGCACACCACAAAGCTTGTTCAATCATGTTTTTATTAACTTAGAAATATAGCAAAAATTTGATCTATGTTAACTTTTAAGGACACCGAGACCATTTTACACACCTTCATCTCATCACGCCTTGATTATTGCAACAGCCTTTTCACCTGTTTAACCCAAAAATCTATTGATCGACTCCAGACTGTCCAGAACTCAGCTGCCAGTCTTTTAACCAGAACAAAGAAATATGACCACATTACTCCTATTTTAGCTTCATTACACTGGCTCCCAGTATGTTTTAGAATTGACTTTAAAATTCTATTGATCACTTTTAAAGCTCTTCATGGCCTCTCGCCTTGTTATATTTCTGACCTTTTAGTCCCATACGCACCAGCACGTACCTTGAGATCCTCGGGCAGAGGTCTGTTGTCTGTTCCAGAGTCTCGACTGAAAACTAAAGGGGACAGAGCGTTTGCTGTCAGGGCCCCGAGGCTCTGGAACAGCCTGCCCGAGGAAATCAGGTCGGCTGAGTCAGTGAACTCTTTTAAGTCCCTTCTTAAAACATACTTTTATAGGAGAGCCTTTCCCGATCTTATTTGACTTTATTTTATCCCTTTTATTTTATTGTATTTTACTAATTTTATATTTATCTGTATTTTAGTCTTTTCAATGTTTTCTTGCTTTTATCTTGTATTGTTTTTGTATTATTGTCTTTACACTTGTTAAAGCACTTTGTAACTTGTTTTTGAAAAGTGCTCTACAAATAAAGATAATTATAATAATAATATAATAATAAACATTTAAATAATAATTTTTAGACATTTGTTAATCGATTCATAATCTTGTAGTGTACATAGTGTAGTGCTCTCTGGGTGTTTTGTGTTTTTGAATCTGAGGCTCTCACTGAAAGCCGGGAGCTCAGATATCTGGAATCAAACTGATATCACGTGTTTTCCCGTAGACACTCAGCTGTCCGTTTGTATGTGAATGTGTTCGGTCTGCAGCAGCTCACATGTTTGGGTTTTTTTAAACCGTTCTCAGGGAGTTCTGTCTGACTCAGAGAACGAGGAGCCGATCAGCAGGAGGATCAGAAACATCTCGGCCTTCATCAGGAAAACCAAAACCTCCGCCGCCTTCACTGGGTGAGCAGGACCGACGCACAGGCTCAGAAGTTCTACTCGCTGACAGTAGCTGTGGAGCCGTGTGGTGACCTCTGACCTGTGTGTTTTTCTTCTTCAGTGGTTCCCAGAGGAGTCAGAGCTGCACTGACTCGGTGGAGGACAGAGGAGGGAAGCTGAAAGTCGTCACCCAGCCGGCCCTGATGGACAGAGTACGACCTGTGGTGCTTATATGTATTACAGTTATACCACAAACAGAACCTCAGTCCAGCCACTATTTTGACAGACTTTTTACAGCCATCGAGATCCTCATGAGACATTTTTACACAAACCTTTAGGTGTATAATGTCCTCAGAGTCAGTATCCTTAACAATAGGCAGCAGCTTTCCGTATGTGCACACAGCTGCTATGTTAACTTCATACTCATGTGATCCACCATTTGAAAGCTAAACTCCTCGTGATTCAACCAATGCAAACCATTTCAAGATACGATCACCACAGCGGGTCCAATCAGCGCTTTTGTCAGACCAGCCAGTACAAGCAAAAGTGACGCGACTCATCTATGAAGCCTCAAAGTAACTTAATCCACCAATCGATTATATTCCAACAAAACTGGTCTTGTTACGTTGTCAAAGGTCCAGATAATCCAACCCAGTAAAAACATTTAGTCCAAAACACATTATTCCATCAGTAAATCCCCAGGGACGGCTGCCGCACCGCTTCATGTTTGCCAGCAGACGCGGCTCGTTTGTCATTATAACCGTAATAACTCTGATTTGAATGTAAACAACTACGATAGCTTGTATTCCGCCGCTGAACTCTGACCTTTCGAGTGACAATACCGACCCAATAGGAGCTCCCATGTCCCTTTCACAGCCTACAACAGCCAACGAGAGCCCGCGCTGTAAGATTCTGCAAATAACGATATCCAGCTTTAAGTAGGAAGTTCATGATCTACCAGCAAAATAACATGTGTGCGTCGAGCTGCCGGCTGATACGGAGCGACGCAGCAGCAGCCGCCTGCCGCTAAGGGGTGGGGCTGTTATACGCTGTAAATACGCTAAGACATACCCTTAGAAAAACCTGTGGAAAATAGTCATTTTTCATGGTATTGGTATGAAATTTAAACTAGGACTAGGTAATGCATTATGCTGTGGTCCTACAGTTTCCAGCTAATAAGTCCCAGCTGTAGTTGTCTGCATACATTTGTTAGCAAACACTTTCAAGCGGGAACAAATTATACACACATTATACTTAAACTTATATTAATCAATTCCAGTAGCACTTCAGTAGCACAATCATTCTGACATTGAGGTTAGACACTCCAGAGTGTTATCTTTCAGAGAAGCCCAAAACCAGGAATATGCTCCAAATGGTTCAAGAACTAGATTTACTTTGGATCTGCCTTGAAGAGGTGCTTTGCATGAATTGTACAGGAATGTTAATAGGTTAATACCTTTCCCTCAAACTGCTGAATATATGGTGAAAACCAAAATGTGGTTTCTTCTTAAAGGATACGTTTGGTATTTTTAACCTGTCTGTTTCTCTCTCTTCCTTCACTTTGCATCAGCGCCCTCGAATCACGTCGTTATGTGTCAGACTGTCAGACCAGGTTTCTGACATCATCATTGGAAAGGATCCCTACGAGGGACTCCCGGTGACCCCCTTATTATTATTAAGAGGAAACTGAAAAGGGAAAAGTTGTTGCAGAAAGACGCCGGTGGAAACGAGGCAGAGGGGTCTGTTGCTCCGGTGTTTCCCATTAATTAATGAGACCATGGCGGCCCGCCACAGTCTTAATTTGCACCGCTGTAGTTTCAAAATGAACCGAAAATACTGCCGTGAGCTTCCTCTTCATGTTACGCTGTACGAGAACCACATACAACATGGTTTTCAAAATAAGGCGTCTATACAGGATGGAAATAAGATGTAAATGCTCCGTATTTGTATAGCGCCTTTCTAGTCTTTTCGACCACTCACAGCGCTTTCACACTACATCTGCATTCAGCATACACTGAGCCTAAGTGCTCAAACGGAAACTAACATTCACAGGGGCAATTTGGGGGTTCAGTATCTTGCCCAAGGACACTTCGACACGCAACCACAGGGAGCGCACCGCAACCACACCGGCGAACTTCCGATTAACAGCCAACCCACTCTACCTACTGAGCCACAGTAGGCTCAGTAGTGAACTGGATTATATTCACAGAACGTATAAAACATATTACATGTGTCCATTAAAATTTGATTTAATTTAGGGTTGCTGGAAAAACATTAAATAAAATAAACTTGTTGACTTTTGCAACCATTTAAAGCTCTACAATGGGTTTGTGATTAAATAGTTTACTAGAGCACAACATTGTGTACAAGTGTGCAAAGTTCTTCGTAGAAAGCCTCTTAATTTGCACCAAATGAATGCATTTAACATTAAAATGCCGGGAGATGCCAAGAGGGTCCTCCCACCAAAGTCTCCAAAATCCTGTGGGAAACACTGCCTTACCCTCATTTCCACCGGTGTTTCCTTTTTTGTACCTACAAACCAGGTTTAAAAGTACTGAGATGACCCTTTATCATGACAGATTTCATGTATCCAGCCTTAAACATTCAACGGGCTGTTTTTAGGAGCGAGAAATCTTCTTTGGTTCACGTATACGATTTAACATGTCATTGTTAAAGGGCAGGTTCTGTCTATATCCATATGAATGTAGAAACAGGTCTTTGGTGCTGTAAGTTTTGCTCCTGTTCAAACCGGACTTAAACAGATCTCTTCTCAAAATGTTTGCAGTGGAAGTGATGGAGAACAAAATCCACAGCTCTTGTTCGGTGTAAAAATATTTTCTAAAGTTGATCAAAAATGAATGTGAGGCTACAACAGAAGCTTTATATTCCACGCACCCCCAGGTCTTTCTATCATCTTAAACGCTCGCCTCTCTCTCTCTCTTCTTGTTTTTTAAACTTTATTTCTGTTCGTCTCCTCTCCGTCAGGTTGGTATCAGTCACAGCTACACTGCAGGAATCCTCCTCTCCTCTGAGAACAGCCGCTCGGTCTCGGCTCCCATCACCGCCCCGGACCGGAGGCTCACCTGGCGAGCTGTCCTCTCATCATCGTCCACACCTCTGGGCCTCCCTCCGCCCCGACCCGAGCGCTCCATCAGCCCCGAGAGCAACGACAGCATCTCCGAAGAACTCAACCACTTCAAACCTATCGTCTGCTCGCCGTGCACGCCGCCCAAACGTCTACCGGACGGCCGTCTGATGGAGCCCACCATCGTAAAGTCCACACCCAGGAATCTGACCCGCGGCCTGCAGAAGGCCACCACCTACGAGGCCAGTCCTGCCGTCCTGCAGAAGTGGAGGCAGATTGAACTCGACCGCCAGAGCCTGAAAGTGAACTCCAAGGCGACGCTCACGAGTCCCGTCAGCGAGCTCCACAACAAGACCGTCGGGAGGGAGGACAGTGGCGTGGGGGCCACAAAGAATCATCAATCCCCGGCAGGGCGGGATGGAGACGGAGTGAAGGCCATCAACAAGAGGAGGCTGCTGTTCGACCCTTCAGCCGCAGACACGGACAACTTCCAGAAACAGTCCGTAAAGATCCGGGTCCCTGCGATCCGCTACAGCAGCAACGCGACTTTCGGAGGAAGTTCAGACTTTGAGCCGTCAGTCGGCACTCCCGAATCCTGCAGCGGAGGATCCATTTTTAGTCGAAAACAGTCCTTCTCACCGTACACTAAGAACTCTGGTTTCCAGTCGTGTAAACTAGTGCCAAAGGACTCGCAGAGTCCAAGGAAGGAGTCCGACAGTAGCCTCCACAACCAATCTACCTCAAGGAGGGGCAAGAAGAGGGAACAGAAGACCAAACACCTGGACTCGGACCGGGACTCGGACCTAAAGAGGAGCCGGTCTGCCAGCCAGGAGGCTTTCGACGAGCGGTACATCCGTCAGATCCAGCAGGAGCGCCAGGACCGAGCACTCGCCCTGAAGCTGCAGAGACAGTTCGACCTGGAGAACCAGACCGTCAACCGCAGGAGGAGCCCCGACACGTACTTCCTGCGGTCCTGGATGTCCAATCAGAACCGCCGGAGGCGCGGCCTGAGGCGATCTCGACGAATCAACAAGAAGCACTAGGGAGTCGTCTGCTGACTCGGCACAAAGACTGCCAGGAAGAGGATCATATATGCAAAGTGACGACAGGTGAAGGTTTGATGAATGTTTTTTCATGACCGTCGTTTCAAACGGCAAACTGTAAAGACAGTCAGTGAAACGCTGAACACTTCTTCCAAACATTGTCTGATTTTCACATCTTTTCACCAGCAAATCACGGTCCATCAATGAAGACATCGCATCTGTGGAGGACAACAGATGGATGTTTGACTTTACTTTGAACGTTTATTAGATTTGACCAGTCAAATCAAAGCCATAAATGCTGTATAAAATCGACATCTGATGAACTTGTCATCGGGTCCCTGTTGGCCATCAGCAGACCCACAAACAGTCTTGTGCTGCAGGAACACTACCTGGCCCAGGTTTTCTGTGTGTCGCTTGGATTGTGTTAATTAATTATATGAACTAAAAAAAAATAAAGCTCTTAAAGCTGCTGAAACAGTGACAGTGTTATTGTGGACAGACAGTTGAGAGGCGTGATGACCCATTGGAGTTCAGATGAAATAGTCTGTAAAGTTATCTAATTACTATTCTGCCTGGTAGCAAATGTTTTGTGGCCTACTGATGGTCCGCAGTGCAGGGGTTGGGAACCACAGCATTAGCTGATAAATGAGGACTTCCCTCAGTTCATATTGTACCTCCATCAAACACTGTTTACATTCAGTAACCAGGGAACAGTCAAGTTTCTCTTCAGGCAGAGATAATGATCATCGCATGAAGACACGTATCCTCATATTCAAAATGTTAAACACAAAGTCCAAGTGAGTCGGTGTCCAAGAACATGACTGCTGCTGGTTTAACTACAGTTCCCGTGTAACCTGGTGACTGTAGAGCAAGTAAAACCTCAGATGCAGAGAGATGGTTTAAAACCTGCAGCTGATTGGACTGCGGCGGAAACAAAAGAAAAATAGCAGTTAAATTATGTGCAGCCAATTGACACACAGTGAACCTGAAGATGCAGGGGCCACCAGAGTTCTGAGGCATCGGAGCTCTGAGGCTTTGGAGGCCACCAATGATCTGGGGCTTCGGAGGCCACCAAAGGTCTGAGGCATCGGAGCTCTGAGGCTTTGGAGGCCACCAATGATCTGGGGCTTCAGAGGCCACCAAAGGTCTGAGGCATCGGAGCTCTTGAGGCTTCGGAGGCCACCAAAGGTCTGAGGCATCGGAGCTCTGAGGCTTTGGAGGCCACCAATGATCTGGGGCTTCGGAGGCCACCAAAGGTCTGAGGCTTTGGAGCTCTGAGGCTTTGGAGGCCACCAATGATCTGGGGCTTCGGAGGCCACCAAAGGTCTGAGGCTTCGAAGCTCTGAGGCTTTGGAGGCCACCAATGATCTGGGGCTTCGGAGGCCACCAAAGGTCTGAGGCTTCGGAGGCCACCAAAGGTCTGAGGCTTCGGAGGCCACCAAAGGTCTGAGGCTTCGGAAGCCACCAGATGTATGAGGATTGGAAGGCCACCAGAGAGGTAGAGCTTTAGGTGGAACCGGAGCTCTTGGTAATTTAGCTTTGCACAAGAGAAGAAGGAAAATGATGTGGTTGAATCCTCCCCAACGCGTCAGAGGAACGTCTGCATGTGCTTTATTTATAATGCTGACAGACTGTCCGAGATGCAGGACTCCTTTACAGAGACGTGTTCGGTTCTCCTCTGATGAGGCCTTTTCCTGCTTTTCCACCAAGACTTCATGTTTCTGCATCCTTCAGCGGCCAAGGAGTCGAGGACGTTTGAGAAAAATCTAGACCTTCTTTGGGCATCGACCACCAAGGTGTTGAAGCACTGGGTGGGCTCTTCTCTGTGAGCGCTGAGGCTCATGGGTACTGTAGTCTTTAGAGCCTTCCCACAGACTTTCTGCCTGAAGACCAGAACAGACCTGGACAGTCCGGGTCAAGAGACTGCGGCCCGCCTCGTTACTCGCTGAGGACCGCTGTGATTGGATGAGTTTTTATTAATGTTTGGGGTTCAAATTTTAAAATCGCAGCTTTCAGGAAGGAAACGGCTGGGCCCGTGAGAGAAGGACGAGTCGGTGTTTGAAGCCGTGTTCACATAGTGTCACAAGTCAGAATCTCTTTTACAGTTTTAATCATTCATCCCAGGATGAAAATAACTGTTCGTTGCTAAACAATGCAAACGTAAAACTATCTGAGACGAGAAATGATAAAAAATAACAAAACAAAATTGATAAAAGACTAACAAATAAAACGAACATGAATAAAAGTAATTAATAAATGATTAAATAAAAACAAAAATCAGTTATAAAACATTAAAAGAGGACCTCTTACGCTCACTTCCAGCTCTATATGTTTGTTCAGGGACTCCACTAGGGGCGGGAATCTCTGGGCATCTCACGATTTGATTACGATTCAGAGGGCTGCGATGCGATTATGAAATTATGATTTATCTTTTTTTATTTCTGGATAATTACTAAGCATTTTATTTGCACATTAAAATCCAAAAGAAACGTCTCCTCATTAGCTTAAAAGGACTAGTTTGCCTCCCTAATTTGTTTTACTAACCTCAGCTCCTCCATGGTCGCTATTCTTTCCTCTGCTACGCAAGTGTGCGCGTAGTTACCATGTGGGTAAAGATTATTAGCTGCACATAGATATTAATGATCGTGTGAAATTTCAGTAGCAGTGCTCATTCAGTCATTCAGCAGCGGCGGTGCGGCGAATACAGGGGGAACACTGGTCTGTGTTGTGTGCACGCCGCAGAGAACCGTTTATCCGTAAATTTCCACAGTGCCGTTGGTACGAGTCACTCTAGCCTGATTGATAGGTTGCCATGGTAACGATAGATAATCCCGCCCTAAAGCCTCCCCTGCTTCCTGGTCTCTGTTCCTCTAAATGGGACCATAATTTACTAAATGAACATCATGCTGTGTTGAAGAAGACTTGAAACTAGAGACTGAGACCAGAAACTCATCAGGGAAGTGTTTACTGAGGGAATTCATAGTTTTCAGTCACGTGACATGCGCGGTAACCTGGAGGGCAAAACAACATCAAAAGCAGTTAAATTTTATTTGGATCACCTTTCAACTTAAGAAAAAAAAGATATGAACACAAACTGCAAGTGTCGGGCATTTCCGATGCATATAACGTTAAAGCATCCGCTGCCGCATTTCTACCGTTAAAAAACGCCAGATCCCTGCCGCCGCTCGACTGCGGTATGTTTACGTTTACCTTGTGGGGAATCCCTCGCCTAACACAGCCCAAGCTTGGCTCCTCCTCGATTAGTAAATCCGAAAGCAACCCTAAACAACCATCCAGCATTTTGGCAACACAAAAGTATTAAACTCAAAGTACGGTGTATTACTTTCTTTCTGGTTAGCAGGCAGCGGAAAATATCTATGAATAAGTCAGCTGAGAAGTAGCCTCATTTTACTTCCGGACTTCTTTTTTCCAACCAGAAGAGTCGCCCCCTGCTGGCCGTTCGATGGAATGCAGGTTTAATGTACTTCCTCGTTCGCATTGGCAATCTTATAAAGACCTGTTTGCCAAAAATCGGCTCATTACAGTGTTAGCACAGCAACAATGTTCAACCTGTTTTAATTGAATATGGAACAGTCGCTCTAGAATTAAGGAAAATTTAGAACATTCTGAAAACAAGTTGAAATATTGCGACCACGTTGGTGGATTGATTTTATTTTATACAAGAAAAAAGCTTACGGTCTCAGTTTCCGACTAAAATCACTCGGGAAGATGTTTTTCATTCAGCCGTGCAGGTGGCATAGTAAATACTACAGACAGTATAAAGTAACCTGGAATGGAAATACTCGAGGTAGAAGTACCTTAAACTGTTTCCACTGTGAGTACGGCTTCACTCCATCGGCTGTAAATCATTTCTTTTCGGGTTTGTAGAAAACTTTCCTTCCTCGAAGTCATTTGATCACCTTGTTGTCGGTCAGAATGTTTCACGAGTGTTTGAAGAGTTTCTCTGAAGGGCTTATTCTGAAATGCACATTTTATAAAGTTGTGTTGGGGGGGGGGGGGGGTATGCTGAGTGCCAAATGATCAGAGACTGACTGATGATCACAGTTTATAATTCAGAGGTTTTGTATGAGAGGAGATCTGCTGATAACAAGAACAACCTGAAGGAGTCGACTCTCACCATGCGTCCTGTCGTCTTTTCATTCACTGTGTGCACTTTACATGTTAAAATCACATTATTATGCTTTCAGTTCAGGAACCACAGCCGAGCTCAAACTCTGTGAGAGGAAACCAAAAGCATCTGCTGTCATCGACCAACAGGGACGTCCGAAAGACAGCAAAGAGAAACCAAACATCTTTCAGTTCACGCTGTTTCAACTAGAGCCCGACCGATAAATCCACGTGGCGAAATTATCATCTGATATGAGCTAACTGCAAATAAATCTATCGTGTTAAGAACAGCTGATAAATGAACATTTAAAAAGAAGATCCTTCATGTTATGAGAGTTTAAATTATATATAACCTGCATTATGTCTTGTTATCTCGGTGACGTCTCATAACTGCACATAACACATGATAGGGAGTTGGCGATGTTACAGTGGTTAAGACTCCTTTAGTGTGGAAGACCTGGCTTTGATTGCTACGGAAGCCCTGAGCGGCCATTCATTTCTGTAATCTTGAGATACATCGATTTTAAGCCTGATTTGCTGACTGTGATCGGGGGTAAATCAGCGATCGATCGGCGGTCGCCAGTCATTATTTGTGAACTACTCAAGGACGCGTCAAAATGGCTCCTCGACACATCGCCGACTCCAGCCAGATATCTAGCACGCCAAATATCTGGAGGAGTCAGCCGACTCGACATCCACATCCAGCCAATGAGAGCAGGCAGCTACTTTTTCACCACAAAAAACCCTTTTTACTCCCCTCCAGCTCTCTCTGTAGCTCAGACGATCCCTTTCACACAGATTCTTTGTCTTTATAATCGCCATCTTTATAACAACAAAGAGCTGTTTTGTGTGCAGGATCACTCATTTCCCGTTTCACATTTCACGTGTGTTTTCTTGACCAAAGTGGTTTGGAGACCAGCGTCAGGTGACACAGCCACTGTCAGCTCCTGTAGTGTGTGACCTGTCACCCATCAGTCACGTAGTGTGAACGCCACAACGACTTTAAGACTCCCGTCACAAGACGGCAAGTTGTCTGAACGGCACGGCACGCTGAAAGTCGTGTAGTCTGCACGAGCCTTAAGTTGTTTCAGGGTAGTTTCAGATGGCCGTCAGTGTCCGTGGTTAGCTCAGTAGAGCGCAGAATTCTCAAACTTGGGGTGTTTGATCCCCACTTTGGCTGAATCTTATTATTATTATCCTCTTCAACAAAGTTCTTACAAACAGACCGTTATCGCTGGAAAAAGTAATGTTGGAACGGATGGCCGCTTAGGGCTCCCATAGATTCCCACTGCGACACATCGCATCCACCAGCGACCCAATCAAATGTCCACACTCAGACTTGGAGGCTGGTTCCCGGTGAGTCCGTGACGGTTTAGGGCCGTCGCACTGTCAGACATTTTTAGCCCTCTATGCACCACCTCTTAACTCCGCATCTCTGCCAACTGCCCGAGGGAATTACCCACAGTTCATTGCATTGTGACGTGAAACGCAGGTTACCAGAGGAAGCCCGGAAACCAGAGAAAAATCACAGCGGTGTCGCTGAAGAAAGAACGGTAAACGAACCCCAACGTAAACGTGGTTAGAAATGTATGAAACATGATCTCACCTCATTACTCACCTACTTTATTCAACTGTTTATTTCAGTCTTTGCCTAATGATGCAAATAGAAACAAATGTTTATAATTATTGACGATATCCTCTCATCCACACTGTAGGGCAGGAGCCTGTAAGACGAATAAATCAGGCAGTCAGAAAGTAAAAGGCGTGAAATAAAAAGTGATCATGATTCAGTGTTAACAGGATAATGTCTCAAAGTGCTGTCGCGTTCCTGTTTACAGTATTTTGAGTCTTTGCAGCCTCTCGCACTCAATCACTTACCAGGTGACGTCGGTAAAGTCTGGGAGGGTTCAGGGTTTAGGGGGGACGCTGAGATTGGGATCCCTGAGCAAGACACTTCACCCCTAGACTTCTGACACATAGATAGCAAATCTAAGTCGCTTTGGATAAAAGCGTCAGCTAAATGTTGAATGAATTTAAGTGTCTCTGAAAAGAAGAAGGAAAAAAAAGAATATCGAAATTTAAAATCCTCAAATATTAATTCATGTCATGTTATTAATGTTATAAATCTCGCATGGGTCAGACTCTAGTTTCAAAGCACCTTTTGGCGAAGAATTACAGAAGAATATTTAAATGTATGTTTATGTATTGGAGCTACAGCAACAGCTATTAGCTTTGATTATAGATTAAATCAGTTTTTCAGCCAAAATACAAAAAAGATTTGATGTTCCAAGTTTTCAGATTTGAGAGTTTGCTGCAGATTAAACGTCGGTGGCTGTCGGACGGAAGCTTCAAGAATTAAACATAATTACTACTATGATAACAAGCTACAGTGAAAAGTAACTAAGTACATGTGTGTTCTGTATATGTACTGGAGGTATATTTATCTGAATCAGAAGGAGCTTTACTGCCAAGTAGTATTTTTTACATGTATGAGGAATTTGCTTTGGTGATAAGGTGCTACACGCAGATAAACATACAGTTGACATAAATAAATGTAGAAATATATAAATATGGAAGTTATAAAGAATAATAAAAGAAAACCATGTGCAGAGAAAGAACAACATGGCAGATATTTACATTTACTCCGGCAGACGTGTTGCAACGGTAGAGTATTGTTGACAACGAGAACAACGATTAACAATTAACAACAAATATGTGCACTATGCCAGGTTTGTGCGTGATATGAAATGTAATAATATTTACATGTACAGAGACATTTGTATTATGTGCAAGGGGGGGGGGACCTGGTCCTTGTTGATGAGGCTGCAGACGGGAAGAAGGCGAAAGGTTTTGGTCCTGATGGACCGCAGCCTCCTGCCAGAGGGGAGAGTCTGAAACAGTTTGTGTCCAGGATGGGAGGAGTCAGGAAGTACATCCTCTGCTGGGCCTTCTTGGTGAGGGAGGTGATGTTCAGCTCCCACTTGAGGTCCTGGGAGATGATGGTGCCCAGGAAGTGGAAGGAGTCACACAGGATGATGGGGGAGGGGGGGGGTGGGCTCTTCCTGAAGTCCACAACCATCTCCACGGTCTTCAGAGCGTTGAGCTACAGATTGTTCTGGCTGCACCAGGTCACCAGATGCTCGATCTCCCACCTGAGATGAGCCCAATGAGGGTGGTGTCATCCGCAAACTTCAGGAGCTTGACGGACTGGTGACTGGAGGTGCAGCTGTTGGTGTGCAGGGAGAAGAGAAGAGGGGAAAGAACACAGCTGCTGATGGTCCTGGAGTCAGAGACATGTTTTCCCACCTGCAGGTGGAGTCAGACACGTTCAGCTGGGAGAGCTTGTCCTGCATCAGGGCCGGGATGATGATGGAGAGCTGAAATCCACCAACAGGATCCTGGCGTAGGTTCCTGGGGAGTCCTGGTGCTGGAGGATGTAGTGAAGTGAGATGTTTACTGCATCATCTACAGACCTGTTGGCTCTGTAGGGAAACCGCAGGGGGTCCAGGATCTGGTCTGTGATGGACTGAAGGTGGGACAACACCAGGACAACATCAGCTGATTATTTTCTCTGTTAATCGATTGTACTAAATCCTGAAAATAGTGAGAAATGTTGGCAGTTCCCTCAGTGACACCTTCACAACGCTCGTTTCGTCAGCCCAAACCTTAAAATGATTAAAATAATCAAGTAAAAGCAGCAAATCTTTGCGTTTGTGAAGCTGGAACCATGAAATGTTTTCACATGAAAAATGACTAATAGCAAAACAGTTAAAGCAATTAAATTTCTGTCAGTTAGCCTAACTGATGTAGTTCTACAAGCTGGACTTAATTTAATTTATACCAAAACGTCCTATTTTTAAACTCAAATACGTTTTGGGTGTAAAAAGCTTTTTTTTTTAAAGTAACTAGTAACTGAAGCTGTCAAATAAAGTAAAAAATACTATATTTCCCCTTGAGATGTGGTGCAGTAGAAAGCGGCATGAAAAGAAAACACTCAAGTTCAGTACAAATACCTTGTGTACTTAAGTAGAGTACTACTTTGTTACTGTCCCCGCTGGGCTCAGCTGTGGCTGCCTGAAACTAAGGAAAGGACCAGAGATGTTTTTCTATATTTAGGCTCTGACAGAAAGCTTTCATCCACCATGATGGTGTAAATGGCCGAGCCACAGCTCTTTAGAGGGAGCCCCCTCCCCCTGCTGTCACCAAGGTACTAAAATGTGCCACAAACAATTACAACATAAAACACCATTCATAAGCTGAAATATGTCGCCTACCCTCACACACAGCTTGGCAAACATGCGTAGGGCGAGTTCTGCCATCCTGCTGTAGGCCTATGTGCACAGCGCAGCTGCTCAGTGGGCTCGATTGGGGCCAAATTTCTCTTTAGTTTTGATACATTTGTAAATATATATATATGTATATATATACATATATATATAAAATAGTCTTTTATCAGATTTACCTATTGTTATTATAATTTCAGGTCAATCATGAACTATAAGTGAAATCTAACTGCTAGTAAAATCCTGAGAGAATTGGCTGGGGCCGAGGGGCCGCTGCTGCAAATATTTGAGTTGCTCCTCCACGCGCGTTAACTTACTCCAAACTTTGATAAAACTTGAGAGCCCTGTATATAGTACACATATATATATATTGAAGAATACAGTATGTACTCAACAAATACGTTATGATGTAATAGTATATAAAGATAAAGTTTGGATTATAATATTTGTTGGTTCTCTCAGTAGAAAATGAGTTAAAATCATTTTAAGTTCAGTTTTATTCTTTTATAAAATATGATGACGTTTGCATTTTGTTGTGAGCGATCACGTGGTCCGTCGTTCAAATGTCGGTGAGAGCCAATCAGAGGCGTCCAGATCACAGCTTCCGATTTACTTGCGGAAGAGAAGATGGCGGCCGCGAGGAACGGGAAGAGCGGACTGCTGGAGAAAGTAAGACACAAATTTTTGTTTCTTCTCCGGCCGTGAGTTAAAGTTCAGACCGGAGTTCCGACAGGCAGCCTGTTCCTGCAGAGAGCAGCTCTCTGTGAGCAGGCGGGTCTGCGCAGGCGCTGCTGAGAGCGAGCTAAGCTAACGTTAGCAGGCTAAATACATTAATTATTTTGTAATTAAACTTCAAGTGAAGAACGGAGTTACTAAAGAAGCGATGCTCTGTTTGTGTGCGTTATTAATCAGTCTGTTCAAACTGCAGCCCTACGTTCACTTTCCTGTTTCCAGCTGCTCAGTCTGCTGCACCAAACTCCATTCAGAAAACAGGCAATTTAAATAAATTTAGCCCACACAGGGTCAGACTGTGACTGCGGGAGCGCTGGTGTTGTTAACGGTGACTTTAAGCATTGGTTCATTCAGTCGGCCCTGGTTTTACACCTAGTGCATGAACTCCTGCATGAGTTTACTTCACAGAAAGAGAGTGATGGGGAAGCAGCGCAGCTCACCAGGCCGGATACAAGCAGAGAGGAGCACACATGAAAGTACCAGGCCTCAGATCTGGTTTATAACTGACTGAACACACGTTAGTGCAGAAATGTTTTACAGGTTTTAACTTCAAATGAATGGAACAAAGTCAGAACTGTGGAGTGTCTTTTTAAATGTAGATCTTTACAGAGTCACGTTGTGAGAGCAGCTGCTGCAGAAGCAGACTGAACATCTGTTAGTTTCCATGTAGCACACTTTGCATTTGACCGTTTCTGTTCTACATTATACTCTACTATATTATTTTAATTAGATATGCATTATTACATAATGTGTTGTATTTAAATATTAATACACAAATGCCAAGTATTTTCATCACGGTCTAGATTCTGGTGTATGTACTAAATACTAGATTGAGTACAGCACTGTGTAATGTTAATTTTCACCTGTTGCAACAGCTGCAGAGACAATAAATAAGAAAATACACATGAAAGAAAAATAGAAAACGATTCTGTATAACATTATGAATGCAAACATAGAAAATACAAATAGACTGGACATGAATTGATCAGAAAGCGTGATTAAAAGGTGATAAATGAATCCTCACGAGGTGATCTGTGTGTGCTTTAGTGGAGGATCGATGAGAAACCCGTGAAGATCGATAAGTGGGACGGAGCAGCTGTGAAGAACTCTCTGGATGACGCTGCGAAGAAGGTCGACTTTCATTCTTTTCTTCTGAAAGATCATCAAACTCCTGATATTAATCTTTACATTTATAGTTGTGTGTTTCTTCCTGTGTGACCTGCTGCTGCTGCGCCCCCTTCAGGTGCTGCTGGAGAAGTTCGGTTACGTGGAGAACTTCAATCTGGTGGACGGCCGTCTGTTTATCTGCACCGTCTCCTGCCTGTTCGCCATGTTGGCTCTGGTCTGGGACTTCCTGCACCCCTTCCCTGAGTCCAGACCGGTCCTCGCCTGCTGCGTCGTCTCATATCCTTCAACGAGCTGGTCGTGTGTTATTGATCGCTGATCTGTTAAGGCCAGTTTATACTTCTGTGTCTGTGCGGTGGATCAGTGAACACAGTGTGCAGATGTTGGTTTCCGTTGTTTGATAGGCTGCGTCCTTAAAAGCCCACGAGCGCCTCACCTGCCGCCGCCGCCGCCAACAAGGGACGCAACAATTACAGATTTTGTTGGTACGATTATAGTCCCAGGAATAGTCACAATTATTATGAATTAATTAATTTCACAACACTACTAATGACTTTATTATCGAGAACTTGTTGTAAGTTAGAACTGGTTCCAAATGCCCGCGACCCGTGGACTCATTAAGACCTCGGTTCCTGACTTCCTGCAGTGAGCATTTTACCGTCCGTCAAAGTGTCTCTGATCTGCCAGCAGCCGCTACGCCGACCTAACGTCACCTCACGTGTTCCGTAAACAAAGCGTGAAGAAGAGAGTCCTTCTGGTTCCGGTCCTGGACCGTGGCGGACCGCAGCAAACGCTCCAAAGTTTGACTCAGCTTCACTAACAAACTGCAGCAGCTGCAGTCAGGAGGTTCGGTGCGAGAGAGGAAGCAGCTCCGACGTGACGAAGCGTTTCCTTCAACACGGCGTGAATCTGAAGGAACGCTTCAGTGTTCAACGTGTCGCGCTCTCCCAGATCCAGCTAACGCTAACAGCAGCGACGCCTCAGGTGAGCCGACGTTCACCTTTTATACCGAAGGGAAACCGACGATGGCTACAGATTAGACGAGTCCCAGAGACGCCGCTCTAGGACAGAGACTCCTCTCACTTTAGAGACACGAAGGGGACGAGGAGCGAGGAGGATCTGTGGCGAAGGAACCAGAACCGAGAGTCCAGAAGTAGAATCAGAATAGATCAATTTGAAATGATACCAAACCGCAGCAGCGACACGATGTGGATCAGTTTGTGTCCGCGGTGGTTTTCCTTCCTTAACTGTCCCCCCTGCATCACGTACTTCATCATGATGGGCATCCTGACTCTCTACACCTCCTACCGAGAGAAGAACATCTTCCTGGTGGCCCTGCAGAAAGATCCAGCTGGGATGGATCCAGATCACACCTGGCAGCTCTCCTCCTCCCTCAAACGGTCAGTCTCTGTCTTTTACCCAGCATGCACTCAAACTCATTCTCACTCCGTGTACGGTTCCTTCTTTGGTTCTTTTGTTTCAAAACCAAATCGGAAAAAAGAAGAAGTTGTTTTTTGGTCTTTCAGATTTAACACCGGCGAGCTGAATATTAATGAATCATACACAGACTGAAAGGTTCGTTCAGCCTCTCGACACGGTTTCCACCTGACCTTTATTTTCTGAGATGGACAAATTTAGAATTTAGCCTCCAGCTGCAGGAACACACGGGTCACAAATCATGTTTTCAGGGGAGCTCATGTCTTAAGAGGAGCTGAAGCTCCCCTGTTGTTCGCTGATAAACATATTGGGGTATATTTCTTAGATCGCTGAGGTCACCAGCTGCTTCAGATCAGCCCAAAACAAAATGCTGCCTTCATGCCGACGTACTTAATCTAGAAATGGGAGAATTTTGAGTGCTTGTGGCAAAACCAAGTTCTCATATTTCTTTTTTCCTGTGAGGCTATAACAGGCCTGCAGTGCTCACTTCTACAATCATATTCACCAGCTGACATGAGATGCGACTTGAAACTAGGGATGCAACGATTCTAGATTTTGTTGGTACGATTATTGTCAGAGAAATAATCACGATTATTACGATTAGTATGCATTAATTAATTTTTAATATTTAATTACATTAACAATTATATTTCTATAATATGTAAGTATTATTAATATAAGAGGAATATTAACTTTAATCCCCCAGGGGAAATTGTTATAAAGGAGGAGGAATAAACTGAAGTATTAGTGAAAATGAGAGAAAGAAATTGAGTGCAGTGTTAACTGAAAGTCTGTAAGCTCCTGATGTTCTGTTCTGGCAACATGTAGCGTTAAATGTTCAGTGACTGAAGGTCTTGGGAGGACTACGTTCTTCCATAAAGGCCCTTTTTAAGAAAAGAAGCGATTTGCACCACGTGGAAGCTGCTCCGCACTAAAGTTGTACTGCTTTGACCGCGGCATGCGCGCGTGCTCGCCGTGCGGTGCGCGTTGCTCGACGCAGCAACAAACCAAGCCGTTGACTCTGAAAGTTTACACCTGCTACAGCATCGATTGTAAGTGACACGTTTATATTTAACTTGCCATGTTGTTTAATAAAATGTATTAGGCCTAAAAATCACAATTGTTTATTTCCGATTTGGTTTTGAAACAAAATAACAAAAGAAGGAACCACACACGGGTTCTTCTCCTTCCTCAGTGCTGGAGGAAGTACTCGGATACTTTACTGCAGTAAAAGTATCACCACAGCGTTTGTTCCTGACGGTGTTGGTTGTGTCTCTCAGGTTCGACGACATGTACACGCTCAGACTTTCCTTCGCCGACGGGAACTCGAAGAAGTGGAGGGAGGCCGAGTTCACCAAGTCGGTGTCGGTGTTCTTCGACGAGAGCGGCACGCTGGTGATGGACCAGTTCGAAAAGGCGGTTTCTAAACTCCACGACACGCTGGCCACGGACAAGAAGACCAAATAACACCCTGAATATCATCCTCGCTCCTCACAGCTCGTTGCTTTCACTTCATTTCCAACGGCAGAGAGAGAAGAACCCGCCACGCTTCCTTTATTCTGCTGGGGGTGCGTTCAGGGACGCTCGGAGATCTGAGTGGAACCAGCTGTTGTTAAATAATCTCCTGAATTGATTTGTTGTGAGATGATGATGATGATGATGATGTCACATTGAGAGTGATAAACAGGAAGTGATATATAAAATGTCTGTAAAACTTTTCTAAAAGCACAGAAACGTTTGATTTGACGAGAATTCTCACCTGAAGATGATCAGATAGACGGCGCTTTTTGTCTTCTTCCAAAATATAGGTCACGTTGGGTTTGTTGGGTCCTCCTGTGGGGCCTTCAGCGGGTCCCACTCTGGGGCCTTCAGCGGGCCCCACTCCGGGGCCCTGCTGCATGCCGCTCCCTCCGTTTCTCTCTCTGTAGGTAAATTTCCCTGAAATGAAGTGAAACCAACAAACTGTGAACAGGAAGTCTCTGTCAGGTTGCAGAGAGTTCGGGCCCCTGAGGCAGCTCTCTGTTCAGTTAAATGTTTTATTTGACGTTTTTCACCTGAAGAGGCGAACTGCTGCTTTTATTTTATACGTTTTTCTTTTGTCTTTTTAAAGTTTGAATTAGTTTCCGGTGGGGGGGGGGGGGGGGGGGTTGACGGAGACGTTTTTCAGCCGTGCGTTGGATCGTCTGTTTCTTGTTTCATCTGAGCAGCGACAGTGTTGGTTCAGGAGCTCGTCAGTATTTCTGTGTGGAGTTTTCCTCGCAGCAGGAAGTGGACTGAATGTTGACTGAACTTTCATTCTTCTTGTGTCCCATGATTCTCTCCTTCTTCTCTGTAACTGCTCAAACATTAAAGATGGATTTTGTTCCCAGAAGACTAAAGAAATAAAGTGTTGGTGTTTATCAGACGCTCCAAACAAACGTCTTCAGCAGAGTCCAGCTGCCCCTGATTTAACCCTCCACAGTTCAGCCAGCAGGCGGCGCTGCTGCTCTGATGGAAGCGTATGCAGCTGATTTATCAGCTTCCTCCGTGAAACCAAACTTCAAATCACAGGTGGAGCTCAGGCCGCCAGAGTTGGTCAGTGTTTCAGCCACAGCACAGACTTAATGGGCTTTGAGACTTTCCACAAATAGTCCCCTGTACACAAATTTTACATCGTATCCACAAATACGTGTGATCCTTTCAGGTGAAATGGATTTTTACACATTTGTGACTTCCCTTTTAAACATTTGTAGAATTATTTTGTCCGCAGAGATCTGTAAAGTATTTTTACATTTGTGGTAAAAACGATTCACCCTGCTCACACGCAGTGTAGTGAGATGTTTGTGGTGAAACCAGACGGGTCCGGCTGAGGAAGCAAAATGTTCCTGCAGCAGCTCCTCCCCTGCGTCCAAAGAACTGCTTTCATTTCTCAATTTGTTCTTAAAGGTTTTCTCAGCGGCTTTGGTGCATTTCTGGAATCATGCTTAACATTTCACAGCAAAGCAGTACAGCAAGAGAGCTGTTCTACTCTCACTAGCACGCACGGCATCCATGGGTTAAATATCCAGGGCAAGAAGAAGGAAACGGTGCCATCACTAAAGGAGAGCTGTGATGGGACAGAAGAAGAAGAGCACAGGACGTGCATGTCAGAGGTCAGACGAAGTGTTCTCTGCAGAGTGTTCAGGAGCTTCTTGAAGTCAGAGAGGGACGCCGCTGCTCTGACGGCGTGCGGCAGCTCGTTCCACCATCGTGGTGTCGCAGATGAGAACAGGGACTGAGATCGCTTTGTGTGATGGGATGGCGGAGCCAGGCGGCGTTCGTTGGAGGAGCGTAGAGGCCCAGAAGGAACGTAGGCTTGGATTATGGAGTTCAGGTAGATGGTGCAGACCCAGGAGTCGCTCTGTGTGCAGCATCAGGGACTTGGTCTGATTCTGGAGGCCCCCGGGGAGCCAGTGTCCCTGAGCACAAGCTGGAAGAGCTATGGCTACGGTTTGGAGGACATTGATGCACAAGGCTGCACATATTTCTGTGTCTGTGTTTGAGAGATTGTTTGCAAAAGATTCACAGTTCTGTTTGTACTGGAACGTGTTGACAGGGCAAAGAAAAAAGCTGTTTACTGTTCTGCACAGCACAACGAGGAAATGACAGAATCAGAAATGTAAACAGGGGAAACGGGTTGATGCTCGTGTCAGTCGGGCCTCAGATTCTCCTCCGCATCACAAAATCTTCATCAATTCAGAACACGTTTACAAAAACAGACGTGTAGGAAATCTGAAAATCAGAAAATAGTGAGAAATGACTTTTGTGATGGAGGCTGAACGAGCAGCAGTCTGAGAAAAGAACCAAAGCCGCTGAGACAAACTGGAATCGTGTGCTGTCGTCATCTGGACACTGATGAAGATGTTTTCACACAGGAACCGACTTCTTACATTATTTCACTCAAAGTTTTCTGCATGTTTATGGTTTTTAAATATGTTTTCTTTTGATTTAATGCAGCTTGGTAATCTTATTTCTCAGCTCACAATAAAGACTTCTCTCTGTCTGGACTTTGTCTCTTTGAATCATTAAAGGTCCGACTCTCGACCCAGCAGGCAGCTCAGAACCTGCAGGGGATGTTGGACCACTTCTAAATCCAGACCCGTCTCGCTCTTTTATTTTACTGCTTTGAGCACACTGACACTGAATCGGAGGATTTTACGGATTAATTTCACACGCTGAAACGTCCACCAATCAAAGAGCAGGGGCGGGGCCAGCTGCTGGGGGCGGGGGCGGTATATACACGTGGGCGGGGCCCTGCAGGGTCAGTGCAGTGATCAGATGTGTGTGAGGGAAGCTCAGAGTCTCAGTGTTGCTGTCTCTCGGCCATGGCCTGTCTGATGGCCGCCTGGTCCGTCCACAACCCCAGCGTCACCAACTCCATCATCATGGTGAGTACTGACCTCACGCTCACTATTAACCAACTTAAACTGCTTCCAAATGGCAGGGAGTTGGGTTGAATGATTAGTTCAGATGAACCTCAGGTATGAAATCAGCTGAGTTCAGTGAACTCTGAAGTTAAATCTTCTGCTGCTCCTCGTTTAACACGAAGAACTTCAAACTGCTGCGGAGTCAGTTCAAGGCCAACATGGCTGCAGGACTTTAAGTGGACTTAAGGACTGAATTTGGGTCATCATGGTTCACATGAACAGAAACAACCAGGACTTCATGTTACATTTAATAAATCCTGTTTTCTGAAGAGTCTGAACTCTCAAACAGTGCATGCTGGGAAATCTGCTGAGATGGTGAATCGTGTTTCTTTAAAAAAAAAACTTAACTGAGTCGAATCAACTGAAATTTATAAGATCTGAAGCCTGAAAGAACATTTTTAAGTTGAGTTGACTTGAAACTAATAAACTTTTATATATTTAGTGTTGAATTAAAGAGATTTAGTTGATTTCACTAAATTCCCGTCGCATGTTTTTTCCAGTGTGAAGAGACTCTGTGAACATGTGGTGAACGTGTGGTGAACTTGTGGTGAACGTGTGGTGAACATGTGGTGAACACGGCAGCTCGTTCCTCTCAGAGGTCACAGGTGTACCTGTTAATGTTAAGGGGCACCTGTTGGGCTTTTACACCACCGGGCCAAAGTTTTAGAGCACCGCCATGTTTGTAGTTCTTCACTAAATCTAAGTAGAAGTGAAAAACCTGAAATGTACCAAAGTTAAAAACGACGTTTACGACATTTTCAGATGTAAAACGAACATTTAATGAAGTTTGGTTCAATATTTCACAGTAGGATCAACTGATGACCAGCTGCTCCGTCTGCCCTCATTAATATCATATGGAATATTTATAATACAAGGTAGTTTATTAGTCATTATACAGCACAAGGCTGCATAACAAAACGAATTTTGTAGTTCCTTCGTGCTACACACACAATAATAACAATAATAATAATAAGTCCAAACAAAGCTTCTGTATTAACAGGCTGTTCCAAGGTGCTTACTGTAGAAATGTGTTTTTCTTCATTTACTTCCACTGCTGCACAATTTAAACAACACTTTAGTTAATTTTAGTTGTGTTTTTTGGACAATGCACATTTGTTTCTTCTATTTCTTTCTATGTAAATTGCATGTTTTCTTATTGTGCAAAAAAAAACTTTCTCAAAGCAAACTATTTTTCATAACATTTTTAACAAATACTTTCAGCATCCCAGTCCCCTGTATGTATGTATGTATGTATGTGTGTGTGTGTGTGTGTGTGTGTGTGTGTGATGTATATTAATGAACGAAGACGGAGCAGCTGGTCATCGGTTGATCCTACAGTGAAATAATGAACCAAATTCCTTCATTTAAATGTTAATTTTAGATCTGAAAATGTCGTTGTCTGTAAAGATTCTCCGTCATCCAGGTCATAGTTATCCAAAGAAGGTTAAAGTCAGCCGGACTTGGTTGAAGATACTGGAAGACGTTTCGTCCCTCATCCAAAGGACTTCTTCAGTTCTGACTGACTGGCAGGGAAACTCAGCTATTTAACCTCAGTGGGGTCGTTGGCCCGGGTCATCGATACCGCTGGTTCGTTAGTGTTCCTGGTTGCTGTGACGACAGTCGTTACAGTCGTTAAGACTACCTGTGGCCAAGACTGAACGACCATCGTTGGTATCTTCACCTGAGGCCAATAGGTTACGTTTGTTGAGTTTCCTGGGAAGTGATGAAAGGACAGCATTGTAAGTGGGGGATAAGTGGTGGCGTAGACCCCCTCCCCTGTTCAATGACGGCTTCTCCACCCTGGTGTAGATGCTTCCTTGACACCTCTTTCAAACCATCCATCTTCTCTGTCTAAAATGTGCACCTGGTGGTCCTCAAACGAGTGTCCTCTGTTCTTCAGATGTAAGTAGACTGCAGAGTCTTGACCTGAGGAGTTGGCCCTTCTGTGTTGAGCCATGCGTTTGTGTAGTGGTTGTTTAGTCTCCCCAATATACAGGTCTGTGCATTCCTCACTGCATTGGACCGCATACACTAGATTGCTTTTCTTGTGTTTGGGTGTGCGGTCTTTGGGGTGGACCAGCATCTGTCTTAGTGTGTTCTTGGGTTTAAAAAACACAGGGATGTTATGTTTGTTAAAAATCCTCCTGAGTTTCTCTGATACTCCAGACACGTATGGAATCACAATGTTGTTGCGTTTGACCTTCTTTTCCTCCCCTGTAGTTTTGTTCTTCTTGGATCTTGTGGCTGTTTTCACAAAGGTCCATTTAGGGTCTCCACAGGCTGTAAGTGCCCTTCAGGTGCTTCTGTTCCTTCTCTCTGGCTTGGGCGCTTGTTGGTATGTTTTGTTCTCTGTGTGGGGGTTTCCTCTCTCTCCAATTGGAAACGTTGTTTTTAACTTTGGTACATTTTAAGGTTTTTCACTGGACTTGAACTACATAGATTTACAGAAGAACTACAAACATGGCGGCTCTTCTAAAACGTTGGACTGGTAGCGTACATATGCTGCTTTCAAACTTTTCTCCGACTTCCCGAGTTGTTCAGGGGGCGTTTGCGTGAATTTTTTCGATTATTATGTGACGTTACAGTGTCGGATGTTCAGACTTTACGTTTCCACCTGCTCTCAGAGCGCTCTGCTCACAGGAGTAAAACAACTGTTGCCAATAAATTGAAAATCTGTGTGAGGCTGATCTTTACTGACATAATAAGAAGTAAACACTGTGACAATGACACAGCTGAACACCACCTGCTGCTGCCGGGAGGACTAACTAGTCAGTCAGAGAAGTTTAAACAGATGCAAACATCCAGCTTCCTCCAATCACAGTGCAGGAAGCACAAACAGACCTGCTGAGAAAAGGAAGCCAAACATCCTGAATGAAAACATTAAACAAATAACAGAAATAACTTTGAAAGAAGGCATGTGGGCAGGTGGTGTTGATGGAGGCGGTCTGGAGCTCCTCTGGCCGAGCTGTGGAGGAC